CTGTCACCACAATCGATTGGTATACAATCGATTATTTTCATCATTCATCGAGAAAAAAACAAATCGATTTATTTTTTCTCGATAACTGAAAAACAAATACAAAACGCCTTGTTCTTTTAATCATAAGGATTCAACCATTGACACCTGCACGTTAAAGCTAATGAATAACAGAATGTGGTATTAAAAAAGCCATCCATCTGTTCCCCATATGCACTAGATATTGATGCTTATCGAAAGAATGCTTTTTGCGTAAAGTATGAGACGATAAACTAGTGTTATTCGTTGAGGTAAGTTGATCGAACGGAGGTTCCGACAGACTGGTTGAAAGGGAAATTATGCAAAATAAATGATTGATTACGTTTCCAACCACAATACTATATCGATAACGTAATCAAATGATCAGCAATGGATTGGAAAATACAAAAAAAAGGAGACGCCTTGTTTTGATTTGACGTTAGAACGAATTCAACAGACATGTAAATATTTTTTTAACTGAATATGTTCAATCAATAGGTAACGTTTCCGTTAGAGCCATTGCACGATTTGAAAATCGTGTTTAGTGATTAATCTGTCGCCGGTAGATAAGTATGTTATGCGAATATTTATTAGCGCAGCGTATGCATGACAATTAATATTCCAGCGATACATTTTAGACGGGCTCCTCGAGGATGAATTTTTATAATGAGTATTAGTAAATTATATTTATCATCAGCCAAGGTAACCCTTCTCCTTCTTTCAGATATCGTTGATGCCTTCTGAATCCTATGATCATTGTTTTTATTTTTGAGGCTATTATAATAACTACACCTACGTACACAATAAATTCGATTATTCTTTCGGCATTTACACACGAACGTCGATTTGTTCGAAAATGAATGCCGATATTGTTTTATCTCGTGCAGAGGTGTTACCGACCGTTAATATTATCACCCGTAGATAATGCAGGATGACAAAAATGAAAATTCAGAGGGTTTTAGAAAAATGCTTTCAAAATCAAGTCTGTAATATGTAAGATGAAAATAATGGAGGTGTAATAAAAAATTGATCGATACAGAACAGCAGTATAAATATAGAGGCAGATAAATTTAATTATTGAGACGATGGAGAAATGCGTTGAAAACTAGGAGTTCTTCATGGTCACAAAGATTCTTGAATTTTATTATTATGCAGTCACGATCTCATCCTTTATCGTTGCTTTTTCTTTTCGGTCTAGTCGCACAAACTCCTGATAGGTTGATTTATGACGTCTCTTCAGTAATATTTGCCACAAAACGACAAGGTGCTAGCACACTGTATATGTGATATAATAATCAAGAATGGTAAAAAGAAAATTCTAAAAAAACTCTGAGTAGTTTTATTGTTTCGTTCGTTCTTAATTAATCATCCAAATTTCTGCTTATACATGAGATTTATGAACGGTATTTTGTCCCGTACCCCTCACCCTGTTGACAATGTGCTAGCGAACAAAGGAAGCTATATAATTATCTACAGGGTGTCCCAAAATAGACATCAAGACGAATATTTGACCATAAGAGGACATCAAGACGAATATTTTGAAAAAAAGTGGAATTGGTTGCGAAGTTTCAAATATATTCAACACAATAGATTTTCAGAAAAAGTTGAACATCCCCGAAACTACTGTTGCGATTGAGCCCATCTTCAGTACGAACCTTTGTTATCAAAGGAAGAAGATTCTGTCCAAATTTTAAGTGGAGATCTCGATTTTTGCACACGTTAGCGCGCGTGCAAGGATTTAAATGAAAAAGCAGAAAAGGGGAAATATCTCAAAAACTTTGTATGAATGGGTAATATTAAAAATCGATGAAAAAAAGAAGTACCATGGGCGTAATGAAGCTCGGGAACAATGGGGGCACACGTACGGGAATGCTTATCATTCATTCTGTTTCATAGCACTTCAAATGGCGTAGAGGAAAAAAAATTAATATGAGGTATAAAATTTTTATGTCATAGGTGCCCAGAATCCGCGATTCTACCGAGCGAAGCGAGGTTATAGAATCGCGTGATTCTGGGCCCTATGACATAAAATAGTATACGAAACTCGTGCGTTATGGTGTTTTTTGACTCGTGGGATTGTAACCCCACGAGTCAAAACTCACCACCGAGTTCAACTCGCCTTCGGCTCGTTTTACAACTTCCCACGAGCTAAAAAACCCATTACGCACGTGTTGCGTAATATACTATTATTTTGTTCTCGCTTAAAATCGTGGTTGAAGGATGTTAATTATTAAAATTCATTTTTTAATCAATGAGAGAAATTGCTTGAGGAGTGAAGCTCATATTAAAAAGCGGCACAATTGCCGATGGCGCATAGTTTGTAAGTGAACGAATAATTTTTTAATATTTTCCGGTCGATTATGTGCCTACATGAAATTAGGAGATTGGGTAACTTTTTTTCTTCATCATTCGGATCACTCTATCAATATCTGTGAAACTAGTCGGCCTAGGGGAATATGTCGAGAGGATTTATTGTAGGAAATTTCTACGATCCACAAAGAAATTCGTTTGACATCTCATTCTCAATCGACGAGTGTCAGATGAAATTGTGAAATAGGGTGACCAGGCCAATTGCTGGACGATTAAAAGAAATTCGAGTTTCGTGGTAAGATCGAAAATAAAAGAATCATCTAAATGGGGATATGGTGGTTTCCATACCTTCAAGAATGTTTTAATTAGCAGAAAAAAATTGTTCAAAGTGAAAATAACAAAACAAAGAATAATTAAAGACGTTTTCCACAAAGAATTTAATTCCTTACAAAAAAGATCAATTGATTTTTTTTTGTAGAATCATCATTTTGTAATTACCCATTGATAATTTTTTCTAGATGAAAACTATTAATTGTTGGTCATTGAATTATCATTTTATATAAATTTGAATGGTTTTCTTTTTTACCGGAATCATGAGTTATTATTGAAAATAGAAGAAGAAAATGAAGTTAGAGTGCACAATCTTCATCCCCACTCCCATGTTTTTTGGGCTTACTGCGGAAGTTCCTTAAGGATTTTCTACATGCATTCTCAAAAATATAAGAAATTGATGAAATTTTTTTTAAAGCTTCTCCAATCTATTACAGAACCGAAGGCTCGGCCTACAAAGCCACATTCGTCAGAAAATACTTTTGGACCGTGTGATGAATGCAATTTTTCGTCAGAAGGCCCGTAAACCGCGATCAAACCGAGCGAAGCGAGGCTAGAATCGCGGTTTACCGGGTCTTCTCACGAAAAAGCAATTTAACCCGTGTTCTTATGGAAAATTCACAAAATCTTAGAAAAAAGTCGGAGAAATGCTTCTATCGTAATGAAACTTTGCACATAGTTAAAAAATGATCAAACGCACAATCGCTATATTTTTTTAAATCGATCAGATCAATAATTCGGAACGAAAAGTTGAAAAAATATTGAAAATTTTGCATCGACTGAAATTTCTGCGCGAAGCTCCAACATGCGACAGCGTCGCGACAGTTCTAGAGATAAATGGGAACGCGCCAAATACAAAAGTGTATAGTATTTCTATTGATCCGTGGATAGGTGAACGGATAAAATCTGTAAACGAAGTTATGAATGAAAGGAATTATACTTCGTGAAAAATATAAGAAAGTACGATGAACCTTTATTTATCTTGTTAAACACTCATTCACGTGCGAAGTTTTTATTCGTTTGAGGTCATTCTCAACATTCTCCTCAGAATTTTCTGGTCTGTTCTTCAAACCTGTATTTCGTTGTAAAAGTTTCCTGTCATATTGTTTTTGAGAGACTCATTTCTCATTGAAACGTAACATCGATGACATCGTGGCCAGTGACGAGTGATGAGGTTATGTGAGAAGAGCGCACTTTGAGAGAGAACTGGAGAGAAATTTCCATATACACTGAACTAAAATATTCTACAAAATTCCACAAAATATTTATTGAACATTTTCTGTTTCCTCGAATATCACCGTCAATGCAGAAATTATCATTGTACTAGTCTATTAGAATGCGGGAGGTAAACAGGTCTAGAGTGGCTGGGAAGCCAATATTACCAACACGTCTCACCCAAATTTTCTAATGGGCGACGTGTTATATCCTATCGAGGCGCTTTTATGCATTTAGAGCGCCAAACTTTGATTTGTGGATTCGTTAGCCGCTAAACATCTGATGAGGACTCCATCGATGTTGACACGTTCAATGATAGGATAATTAGATTGAAGGTTTATTTGTGAATAAATCCAAACACCAGTGCTTAGGAGAGCACATTAACACTTTTATTCAAAATAACTCTTGACTCAAAAATCTACAACTTGGACTACAAACTGGATGAACTTCTAATAAACTTATAAAAACTCATAAAAACTCTGAAGACAAACTACTTGAAGAGAGAAGCTTAAAAAGTTGTCGGAACAACAGCCACGATGGGACTGACTTAAACTTAAGTTTTTAATCTAAGGGTTGGCTCAAAACACTTCCACTAGACCAAAAAGTTGCGCGCGCAATTCTGGCCCAGAGGAAAGGGAAGAGGGGTATGCTAAAACAGAAAAGGGGAAATGAAAAGAGGGAGGAAGGGAAAGCGTGCGACGTCGCCAGTTTTCCTCTTGAGGGGTCTCAGGCCCCTCCGCGTAGGAATACAATGAACAAAGGAGAACCCAAACACGTGTGGACCAGTTGAAACAGAGAAACTTTCGAAATATACCAGAATTGAGATTTTACGATTTTACGACTGTGACCGATGTGTTTATTTTTCTCTCTGAGTTTAGAATTTTCAGGAAAAGCCTTTCTGTAACAAATTTTGGAGAGTAATAAATTGAGAACTCAACTCAAGTACTTGACATTTAGGATTTTCAGCAACAGTTTTTCTCGCATCTGTAGACTTATTTTCTGTGTCCCTTGTTCATGGTCCTTTCATTCTAGCATTTCTTTACATTCTCAAATTTCAGGTGTTATTTAAATTCGTTTTATAATAATGATTCAAATCTCGCGGATTAAAATGGTTGATTAATAGCGCCATCTATCAAATTTAACGTCAGGACATCACACCCGTTGCCTCTGTTCCGGACTGAATTTTTATTATTTAACAATGATTAAATACAATCATAAAGATTTTCTAATGCAATCGACGTATTGCCATGATGAATATATGATACTAAAAAAATTTTAATTCCAGTAAAGTCGCCAAATAGCACCTCAACGACGTAATTGAAAACTCGATTTTTTCATGTTCAGGGATTGGAACACTTACGAAAGGCATACCCCTCCACACCCGCACACCCCCCCTCCCCCCGCTACGGTGCATGTAGAAAATCCTTAACGAATTTCAAGCCGAAAAATCGACTTGAATCATTCAATTATGTAGAAATGGCGATAGAGGGCAAATGCAGTAAAGTGATAAGTATTTCCAGTGTGCCCCTACGAATTTGATTGGAAAATCACCACACAGAACATTTTTTCTTAGGATTCATTCTGGATCCTACGGGACATTTAAAATCATCAGCGAATTCTGGCATATTGGACAGCGCTCCCAATATAAAGAATTCTGCAGGAGGGTGGGGGTCAACGATAACTAAGTCCTCGAGATCTTCAATTCGCAACTTCTCGCACCGAGTGCTAGCCGCACTTATCCAGAACATTTGTCTTGGGGTGTAGGGAAGTCTGGGGAGCATTGGTTCTCGGCCATTACGGACTGACCAATCCTTGTAAGTTAAGTAGGCTAGCTTCATTCCTCCGTTGTCTGCAATGTTTTCTCCTTGAGTATTTATTCCATTCAACTGCAAATTGAAAATGAGAAAAAACGTCAATTCTTGAAATTTTTCCATCCATCTATTGATTATTTGAAGAATGAGAAGGGGGAAGCATTCCAATATTACGTCACGTGTTTTTCTGTTCTTGAGAATAGATATCCCTCTGTTACACTCTTAGAAAATTACTCTTGAAATTTCAAGAGAAAACGCTTGAAATTTTTAACAACGACAAAGTTACATGAAATTTCTGTAGAATTCTCCATTGACGAATCAGTTAATTTCTTGAATATTCAAGTAATTCTCGATTTTCAGGTCCATAGGGCACTGAAAAACCTTGAAAATTTTGAAATTTCTAACTTTTCTGAATTTTTAATCTACTGAATGTTAAATTGTATGCAATGTTCAATTTTCACAATGAGTTTGGAAATTCAAGCTTTCATTAAAAAATCAATGATCGTTCAACATGAAAAACCCAATTTTCTTGAATTTGAGACGAATGAGAAATTTAGTGAACGTTTTCATTTGAAATTGAATTCAAACTCACAACATTGAAAATTCAGATGACGATGTCAATTTGCCGGATTGTTTTACTTACGTTCAACCCAACTTCTTCGACTGAGTAATTTCCATATTGATCGATAATACATTGTGCCTTAGCGAGGTATTTTTCATCAGTGGAAGGCGACCACCAGTTGATAAGATTGCCGTCTTTATCGAGCTGTCGTCCTATGTTATCAAATGCATGGGTTATCTCGTGACCAATGAGCAAGCCAATGGCACCATAGTTCATATACCTAGGACGATCGTTGTTGAAGAAAGCACCCTGGAGAATACCAGCCGGAAACTCTGAAAATATTTTGAATAAACATCGGTCAAAAGTCGTATTAGACCCGGAAGTTAAAAGCAATTTTGTTTCTGCTCTAAGAATTATTTATATTTTCTTCGAATCGTTCAGAAGACAATAAATATTACACTAAAGAAGTTTCTCGTCGAGGGTTTCACATGTCGCAAAAAATGTTGGTTTTGAGTGTTGACGTATGAACGAGAGTTTTGACATATTGAATTCAAATGTTGACATATGCTTTGTGACATGTACGTTTTTAAAAGACTCTAGAATTGAAATTAATAGAAAATTCTAGTGCATTCGTTGAACAATTTATGCTTAATCCCAATCATATCAGTTTGAAATCAATTACTCACGTATGCTATTGTCCTCTGCATAAACAGTATTAACAGTGACCGGGCTTTCCGCTATCCGCCAATCGCTCTTATTATACGGTTCCCTCAATTCACTGAATGAATTCTTAATTGTGAATAACGAAATATTTATAATATTCTGGAGATAATTCTCGTCGCTGAGCTCCAAATCCTGATAGAACTCTTCAAGTTTTCTGTCATCGAGAAGCTCATCAGGATAGGCAATATAGCTGGTCATGGAAGCAGCCTTCTCCAGCGCACTCTTTCTTGTTTCGTCGTCCATCCAGTCAACTTTCTGCAGGATCTGATTCAACTGCTTCCGTATGTCATCAACCATCTCAATGACATTCTTCTTAGTATCCTTATTGAAGTACTTTCGAACGTACTGAGCTCCGACGCTTATGGAGAGACTGTCTGAGACGAAAAAAACACACTGTTTCCATCTGGATTCGCTTTTTGTCCCACTGAGGTGAGTCAAGTATTGAAGCTGTAGTTCTATTTGGTTATCCAAAAAGTTGAGTAAATTTTGTAACACCCTCCACATCAAGTAGTTGGCTTGAATTCGTTTAGGAGTTTCTTTCATGAGTTTCTCGAGATTTGTGATAAAACTGGGGACTTGGACGATAACGATTTCGCTGTCGTCGACTCGGATGGAAGGTGGAAGCAGGCGGTTGAAGTACTCCTTCCAGGGGATGCTGGGGTACGTCTGGGAGAGCTGGGCGATTGTCATAGGATTGTAGAGAAGCGTGTAATTAAGGAGTTTCTCATCTGGTAGAGAAATCTGGAGAAGCGAATTGTTAGAAAATATGGATCTCAAGATTATGTTGGGGATACTTTTGGGGAACAACGTATGGAGACTACGGAAGTAATTTAAAAAAAGGCTTACGTTAGCTAATTTCATTTCAAATTTGAGAGACTGGACCAGTTGCTTCTCAGCGAATTCTCGTTTGGCACCAAGGATCACTGCAATGTCCACCATGTGCCTGTAATAGATCTGGACTACTTTGTCATTTAAACCTTTGGCTAAGTATTCACGTGGTATCGACAGGGATGCTTGATCCAACTGAAAATTAATTTTTTTCAAGTCAGAATTTGGTTTGTCATGGCTCAAAGGACAAATTTGATCAAAACCTAGTTTTAAAAAAAATTATTGAAATTCCCCTGGATTTGTGTTGTAAATTTATACATAATTTTTGTATTTTTTTTCACGCGGGTTTTATGAACAAATTCCTTCTATCTCATCTAACTGTTGAAATGATCTTTCTGGTTTTCGTTCCTATATTAACAATAATTACATACATATATAACTTGCTTCGTAGTATTCTTGTAGTCCGTATTGATAGTAATTTGGAGGAAGTACTTCATCAGATCTCCCAGGTCGCTGAATTTGTTAAGCGATTGAATCCATTTAAAAGTCTCTTCGTTCCACTGGTCTCCCTCTAGAACCGGCCATCCTCCAAGTTTTTGCAAGATACTGAGAAGTAACTTGCGACTCTGAGCTTTAATTGCAGCTGAAAATCATCACAGATATATCAGTTTCCTTGTAATAGTGGAAGATTTAACAAAATGTCTTAACGTGCATTTTTTACGAGGAAAGGTACGAGTAAACTAACTTTTGAAATAATAATTATTAATGAGTGAAATAAATTATCTGTGAAATCTGGAGGAGTTTTATGGTTGCTTTTACTATTCAATTTATTATTAACACTCCGTTGGTCGCGCTATGAGCGCCGCACCGCACTTTTTCCGATTTTTTAAATTACTGCAGTAAAGCCTGCAGAAAAAATTTGAAAAATTTCTCCTACGATTACTTATTACTCAAATAATTAATTTTTCAATTAGACAACCCAATCGATTTGCCCTGTTATGTTTTTACCAAATATACTTTTGAAATATCAAAAATTATTTGTCTGATTTATCTGGATATGGTTTTCGCACTTTCGTTCATGCAGGATTTGTACAACTTCTTTGCAAGTTTGAATGCTTTAGGTTCCGTGGGGAGACTCGGCTCCTCGAGGACTGTCCGCAACCGCTTCTCAATTTCTATCCTGATGTCTTCAGAGGCACTCATTGTGCCTCTATCAGGTGGGATGAGTGTATTGTTCAGATAGTTACCGCAGGCGAACCTGTAAAAGTTGTCGCACGGTTCCACGTTAATGTCCATTTTTGTGATGATCATGGAAGCTGCAAAATAAAGAAAAATCAATAGCATCAGAATATAGTCGGATCTCCTGGATCAGAATTATCGAGAATGCAGAAATCTAAAGAAATTTGTCATCAGAAGAATCAGACGAGAATTACATGGGAGTAGTATGGTTTGTACAGTAAAAACTTTTACATTAGATGTAAAATACATGGTATTTTTTTCATTTTAAAACCTTCTTGATTTCTTGAACTGTTTGGTTCTGTATGGGTGATGGCGTTGTCTGCCACTGATTTCACCGCGGGGACGTTTTTGCAGAGATGGAAAAACATATATTGTCTCTTTAACAGAGACACTCTCATCATTTAGTTGAGAATGGAATTCCTCGATTGGAGCAGACAATTGAGGGGCATTGAGTTTCTCGCAAGAGTCAACGTACTCATGTGGAAAAACTCCCTTTCTTGTTGAAAGTTGGAATTTCTCTACAGTACTTTTGAGTTATAGATTATCTTGATCACTGAGATAAGGTGCCAGTTTTTCCAAACCACTAATACGTGTTTAGTAGTATGGTAAAAGCGCTTCTTATCGTCAATTTCCCGTCATACGGTAATTTTCCGGTTGTCAAGCAGAATAAAAAAAATGTCGATTATTCCACAACGACAGCGAATACCACAATTCTATTTATGTCGCCCCGTGCAATAAGTCGAGTTTATCGCACGCTGCGCTTCGCGCAGCCTGCTCAAAACTCGACTTCTGCACGACTTGACATAAAATATTATAGAGCACTCGGTAATAAATTTCGTTTTCAACGAATGTGTGTACAGACCTCGCCTTCGGCTCGGCCTATAAACTACACATTCGTAGAAAACGAAATTTGTGCCCTTGTACTTTAACGTACTATTATTTAACTCTTGATGTGGGAAATAATCCGCCGAATACCCCTCGAATTTCAAAATGAATCCAAGTATTTTCCTCAAACTTGGCTGCATACAAAAACGAATGCGTCAAGTTTCGCAGGAAAAATCCCCTTTAACCTGCGAAATTGGACATCTTCGTTTGTATGCAACAAAGTTATCGAGAAATACCCGATAATTGTGAAGCTTTTCGAGGTATTATAACCGAAACTTCTACTTGAATCATACCGAAGGATTGGCTTAAATCAAGCCGGAAAATCTGCTTGAATCAAGACAAACCAGACCTGAAGCAGACCAATGTGCCAATTTGTATCTCTCCTTGTGAAAGTTGATTGATGTCGTCGATGAAGTCACGAAATTGAATGTGAATTTTCCCGTTTCAACCTTGGAAATTCTACTGAATTGACTACATTCATCAATGAACTTACCCGTATCCTTACAAACTTTAGTCGTGCAGACCCTGTGAGATTCTTCGGTAAATGGCGGGAGTGACTTAGCAGGTTGAATTGTAGGGAGTGCTTCAGCTGCGAAAAATTTGAAATAAAACTTGAATTAGTATATTGTGCACCAAGAAAATCGAAAAGTCAATGTCAATAATTATTCGCCTGATTTTGATGGAAGTTTTTTTCGCGCCATCGTTCATACCGACCAATTTCCTGTTCGTTTGAGCGATTGAATCAATATTTTTTGTAACTGAAGGTTCAAATGAGGACTAAAACGGGGAAGGGTTGAACAGAAGAGGCAAAACGGATGAGTGTAATCCTTTAATAATTTCATTTTTGTTCTTCATCCGCAAATATTTGTTATGAACATATTTTCATATAAATCTCGCCTGTTAATCCTCGATTATCGAACTAACAAAAATATGGAATTCATTATGAATAATTGGTGCTTTTTGTTTATTGTTCTTAAAAACAATCCACCAAGAATAAAGCTTAAGAACAGGAGTTTCTAAAATCTAGAAACTAGTTTCTAAAGCTAATCCACTTTCATTATCTATGTCGATATGTCGTATTTTCATTAGAAATATTTTTTTAAATTGGCACCCTATGAAACAGCGCGAAATACCCCATATGTAGTGACACAAATATGAACATAGGTAATTGGAAAGGGGATGCCCCAAGGGCCGCTTGTTGCAAATTGCGGACACTTTGTTATTTAATTTTGAATGTTTGTAATTGGGCGATCACGATCTTTTTTTTCTGACTGGAGGAATAGGAAATTCTCTATGCTCTGATGATTACTCTTCTTTGTTTACTCTTCCTCGGCAAATTTTTGAATGTATTCATTCAGAACACGATAGTGGGAGTTACTAAAACATTGACGATGTGCATTCTTATCTATTTTTACGATCATTCTTCATTTGAAATATCAACTTATATAAGGTAGGAAGCATTGAAGATCTTACCATTGGCCTCTTTACCGTTGCAGACGTTTGGAGTTCCAATGAGAGATGATTGGTTTAATGAGAAAAAAATGAGTCCGATGATACCGATGCGTGCCATAATTTTAAATCAATCAATCAATAATTTTTAATCATCAATGAATTCAATTTTAATTATAGTTAGTTTGAGCCAAAATTTGTTAAATAGACTGAGTTACTATAATTGCATTAAAGAGTGTTTACAACGATCTGTGGACGTATTACGAATACTGCAAACGTTCATGAAAATTTAACGCTTTATATTCTCAACAAAAGCGCATTCTGTTTGCAACGATAACAATGTGATAGTGTAATAGAAATTAAACACGGATCTGTTGTTTTGGAATTCCTTATCCGACCAGAGTACGTGCTGCTCTGCTCTTTTGTCATTTCTGCAGCCGTCAGGATAACAAATATTGTTCTTAACACAGCGCAAAAAAAAATTTTAGCTCTCATATAATTGCAAAAGTTTTGTTGGCCTAATGACGAAATGTACTGCTTTGAATTCCAAGTTTCGCATATTTTGAATGATTTGCCTGCCTACGATTTTAACGATTTCGCATAGTTTCATGTGATTTCTTATCCGAATTTAGTCCGGAGTCCCGATAAATATTAAAAATATTGCTCGTTAATTGTTAATTGATTCTCGAACATTGAAGATTTCAAAAACTTTGTAATTGTTAATGGCGTCACAATGGTAGTCGAACGCTGGACCTATTACAGAATGTCGGCGGGAAGAAATAAAAAAATCATTTTTTCAACGTCTCGGCAAAGTTTTAAAATCGATATATCTTCTCCAATAATGAAAGAATACCCATCGATCCGATTTCTATCCTTGTCTTTCGATAGAATGAATTGAATAACGGAGAAAAATTAAGAATTAAAATTCGAATACCACAAACTAATTGTCATGAATTCAGAAATTTGTTTTTCGTATCAATTTAATGCTTAGTACACGATGTACGATGACGTGAGTATACGATACCTCACGTTCCGAGCGCTCGAGGCCTACCCCCACTCTCGGTACTTTTATCGCCTCACGAATGTTTATGTTCCGTGGGCTTCTTATAAGATACCTATGGCCCCGGTGATTTTTCAGCGGCAAGAGAGTAGTTATAAGGATCAAACGGGAGGGGCGAACGAAGTGATCGTGAGGGTCTAATGACCTTAAGGGCGGGTCACACCACTTTTTTCAAGTAATGGAAATATACATCTATTTTTTTTTTCACTTTTCCCATCGAAAATCGTAATTTTTCGTCTGTGATTATTCTCGAGTCCACCAACAATCCCCCAACATCAGCTGCCATTCTATCACGCGGGCTTATATTTAGAGAGAAAAGGGAACGCAGGCGATGAAAATTCAAAACATTAAACACATATAAATTGATTAGTTATCGATATTCATTCAGTAAAAATGAAAATTTCATTGAATTCGAGCGCAACGAGCGAGGTATCTTATTTGAAACGCGCTGATCCCTATTCTTCTCCTCTCTATGGGCGCGCGTAGTGGGGGCACAGGGGCTCCCGGAATTCCACTCTCCTACTGTCCCTAAGGTATCTTATACGGAGCCTCTATTGTATTTATTAGTTCAATTGCTTTAGTATCAAATTTGTTTAGTATCAATTCAATGCTCTTTATCAATTCTTCTCTCCCTCAAATACAATCGTCTACAAACATCAGTAATAGGTACATCAGAGATTGGTGGAATGCCTCCAGGTATGTGCTCACTCTGTACGAGAGAGTACTGATCCTTTATAGTTCTAATGTTGTCGATATCCGGGGTCATTAGCATGTTGATGCCGGGACAAATGATGAAGGCAAAAATTGCTATTGCAGTCAGTGCCCAGATGGGAATAGCCACTGCCCAGTATTTTAGTGGCCAATATGTTAGGCCCAATTTCTCGTGGAAGAAATTCTCGGGGACCACTACCCACACTAGGTACAGGAAGAATAACATGTTCGAGCCGATGTACAATGCATAGCCGTAGACAGAACGAGGTCTGTAGGGTGCTGATGTGTGCTCAGACATCCTTTGGTGTTTTATGAACTCGATTAGTAATTATTGTCGGAGATTTCATCAATTGTTATTCATTATTCATCAGTGGTAGTGGCTGTAGACGGGCTCTGGAGGTCCGAATTCACTCATCGTCTGAGTTACCAGCGTTAAACTGTCGAAGAATGACGTGAGACCTACTCGGACTTTTCGTGCCTCTTCTCCGGTGAATTTTCTGTAACAATTGATGGCATACTCAACATCGATACGGTATTTTCTCGACAAAGTGATTTATTACAGACAATGGAGTCTATACTCCATTACATGAAATACATATTGAATTCTACTAATGGATTGAATGAATAATGAGTGGAATTGGATCAAATCTACTGTTCCGGCTTCAGTTGGCGGTTGTAAAAACGAACAAACACATTGTCAGAAGACTGTGTTGTAGGAGTTGTGAGGTAAAGCAAAAAGGGGTAAAATGGACACGTCGATTTCTTCCTCAATTTTTTATGTCTCAACAATATTATTGAATTTCTGAACACTAGTTCCGACTGTAATTTTGAAATTGAAAAAAAAAATCTTTTTTGACTTTTATTGTGGGGGGCGGTAAACCAATTTTTTTTTTGCTCATTTATGCTCCCCTCCCTAGCAGAACCAGTGGATAGAGTTCGTGGAAAGTTGGACTGACAGGGCCAATTCTCTACTCATGAGTACTTTTAGAGAGTAGATAGCTGAGGGGAGGACTATTCTGGGCTTCGTGGATTTAGACCCTTGAGTAATCTGACCCTCTAATCTTTAGAACCTTAGACCTCATGCCTCTTTGAACGCCCAGACCCGAAATTTTTTGTGAACGCAGAATGTTATGGCTCTAAAACCTTCCAAACCCTACAGATTATGATTCATATATTATGACCCTTATATTTTCAGACCCTTATTGATTCTGACCCTTAGATTTTGACCCTAAAAATTTCTGACCCTTAAAGAAGTTTGACTGTTAAATATTTGAACCATATTATTTTTGACCCTTAAAATGAGGCCAACCTCTCTACTATCTACTTTTGTAGAGAGTAGAGAGTTGGGATCGGATGCTTGATGAGGGCTACTCTCCACTCTCTACAATTTGTGGAGAGTGGATAGTTGGGATTGCGGACTCAATAAGTTGTGACCCTTAATGCTTCTGACCCTAAGATTTTGGATTTTGACCCTAAAAATAATATGGTTCAAATATTTGACAGTCAGACTTTTTTAAGGGTCAGAAATTTTTAGGGTCAAAATCTAAGGGTCAGAATCAATAAGGGTCTGAAAATATAATACAATATATGAATCATAATCTGTAGGGTTTGAAAGGTTTTAGGGCCATAACATTCAGCGTTCACAAAAAATTTCGGGTCTGGGCGTTCAAAGAGGCATGAGGTCTAAAGTTCTGAAGATTAGAGGCGGGTCAGATTACTCAAGGGTCTAAATCCACGAAGCTCAGAATAGTCCTCCCCTCAGCTATCTACTCTCTAAAAGTGCTCATGAGTAGAGAATTGGCCCTGTCAGTCCAACTCTCCACGAACTCTTAACTTTCTCTCCACTCCAGGAACAAATAGAGAGTCAACTCACTCTCTACTAGCAGTCTACAGGTTCCGTCAGGGATACGCTGCGCTAATAAATATTCGCATAACATACTTATCTACCGGCGACAGATTAATCACTAAAAACGGTTTTCAATTCGTGCAATGGCTCTAACGAAAACGTTACCTATCGACTGAACATGCTATATATTCGGTTAAGAAAATATTTACATATCTGTTGAATTCGTTCTAACGTCAAATCAAAGTAAGGCGTCTTTTTTTGTATTTTCTAGTCTATTGCTGATCATTTGATTACGTTATCGATATAGTATTGTGGTTGAGAACGTAATCAATCATTTATTTGACATAATTTCCCTTTCAACCAGTCTGTCGGAACCTGATCAACTTACATCAACGAATAACACTAGTTTATCGTCTCATACTTTACGCAAAAAGCATTCTTTCGATAAGCATCAATATCTAGTGCATATGGGGAGCAGATGGATGGCTTTTTTAATACCACATTCTGTTATTCATTAGCTTTAAACGTGCAGGTGTCAATGGTTGAATTATATTTATTTCAGCAGGGGGAACAATTGAGAATTAGCAAATTGAGGCATATTTTTATTTTCATCCCGAGTGCTCTCCAAAATATGAGCAATTTTTTCTTAATTTCAACCTGACCTAAAAATATTTCGAATAAAATTATTCAAACGGTTTATGAATGTCGGACAATTATTTAGTTGAATCGCCACGTACGCCATACAAAGCAAAAGCGGATGATTCCGGTATAGAGAATTTGATTTTCGTGTATTCATTCCGTTCTGACGTCTGAAGTTTGGCGAATGTGAGAACAAGCTGCGGCACGCGGCTTGCTTCAGTGACTTCCGTGCGTCAGCCCCCTGAACACAGTCAGGAGTCACAACCTCAAAATAAAATTCATAATGGCGGTGATCGTTCGACGAAAACGGCTGGTTATCGCCCAATGCATCAATTTCCATCCTTGAAACTTGGAAAATTGATGTTTAGAATACCCTGAAAATAGTTCCAATTACTCCAACGCAATGAGGCCTTGATAACCTCCCCCAAACCGCGTGAAAATCTGACGTTTCATTCCAATTTAGTCACAATTATCTGGCACAGGTGAGGCTCTCCAGAAAATCATTGATTTCCCTAATAATTGGTCAAATGAAATTTACAATTTTTTAAATGATTTTTTTCAGGTGATTAGAGGAGATTCCAAGATGTCGAAGCGTTCAGCAGATCCAGGGGACAGCAGTTCCCAACCCCCGATAAAGAAAGTCCAGTTTGAGCCGATTTTAATCGGTCCAATATCAACATTAGAGGAAATGGACATGAAAGTCCTTCAATTCCAGAATAAAAAGCTTGCTCAGGTACTCAACTCAGTCGTTCAATGAATAGAGGAGAATGGGGCAAAATGGACACTTGACTTTTTTATAATGTTCATAACTCAATTTGTCAATTGAATTGAATTGAACAATCTTGAATTGGAGAAAAAAAATTCTGGTTTCCAGTGAAAGTCTCTGAATTTCTTAACTCTGTGGTAATGAAATCTAGTGAGCAAAAAATCCTAGAAATAACTGACATTTTTACTCATTTTAACACAATTTTTTCTAGAACTCAGAGAAAAAAATTGTCTCAGTAATTTTCACTTAAAACTAGTCTGAGCCAAAATTGAGACACAATTTCCTTTAAGAAAATCTTGATTCTCAAACTCAGAACTTTTACTCTTAAAATAAGAATTTTGAGATTCTAGAATGAAGAGCATTCTCGTTCTCATTAAATAGAGAATTTTTCCTGTTCTAAAATTAATCTATTCATGTTTATGAATGCGTCGTTATTCAGGGTATATCACCTGACACCTTGGCTCAATTGATGTTCAATTATGCCATGCTTTATTACTATTATTCTGCCATTATTTGATTTCAACAGCCCAATGGTTCTTGATTTAAAGAGAATTAATACTCCAACCTGAATTCAAATTCCTCGTATTCCTCCAGGCCATTTCGCGGTATTCAGCAATTTTAACAATCAAAAATGCAATGAAATCAACTATAAATTTTCATTAATTTGCAAACGTTTCAAGTGGAACATTCACTCCTCATTGGGGTAATTTATTAAATTTCCATCTCTAAAGAACAAAATATAAAATCATTATCATCCATTTTTATGGAGACACTCACTTCGTATTCTTCTTCTTCTTCTTGATTTCAGAACCCAACAGTTTTGTATTGAAGGCAATGTCAAAAGACCTTTTTCTTAAAATTTTTAACAAAAAAATTCTCTTGATAATTTCTCGTCACATTACTCACTACCGACAAAATTCAGTAGCGAAACGGTAAACCAGATTTCGTCGATTTTGACTATTGGCCAGTTTTCAATGAATATCTCGGAATCTTAGGGAGATGGCAAAATTTTTGTGAAGACCTTTTTCGTAGCCCTCAATTCGCTCTACAAAAAAGGTCTCTATGAAAATTTCGTTATCTCTCTTAGATTCGGAGATATTCCTCAAAAACTCAGCTGAGGCCTAAATCGACTTAAACCGTTTTAAGGCAATTAAAATAACATAAAACACCTCACTAATTTCCTTCGAAAATTCTTTGAGGAGAGAATATTGAGGTATTTTTGGGAAAATATTGAGAATGTTTTTTTGTTCTCAGTGAAGAAGTTCCTTCTGAAAAAAACCTTATGGCATTTTGTCCTGGAAAAATTGGTTCTTGAGATAATTTCATGAAATGAGAATGAGATAACACGATTCTTTTTCTATATTGGGTCACTTTAGTATTCGAATGAATCACTCGGTTGTGGAACATTCTCTGGGAATATTTCGATTTTCTTCCTGCATACAGAGGCTAGAGCAAAGGCACCGGATGGAGGCAGAGCTCAGACAGAGGATTGAGCAGCTGGAGAAGAGGCAAACACAGGATGATGCTGTTCTTAATGTAGTCAATCGATACTGGAATCAATTGAATGAAGACATTCGGGTGCTGCTGCAGAGGTTTGATGCTGAAACTGCTGATGAATCCGAGAATAAAAGTGAGAAAATGCTTAAATTATCTTCCATGTTTTTTCTCGATTCATTAAGTGGTTGTTTGAAGAGTTATACCGCTACAGGTTTCTCCAAAGTAGTATAAACACAACTCAAATTTTAAAGATTAAAAGCTGAAATAAATTCTGAACGGAAGTTAATATAAATAGGAACATTCCCGTTAGGTTTGTGCTCAATGGGAACCCTATAATGATGTCAAACCCTAGTCAAACGAGAGACTATTGTTTATATGTAATTGAACTCATCAAAGTTATAATTCATATAAAAAATTGTCATGATGAATAATGACAAATAATTTTTTTTGTGCATTTTAAATTTATGTTACTTTTCGCAAATAAATATTTGTGTGGCAGAAATAATTTTTGTCAGTGTGATGTTGAGGTGAAATGTCAGAAGATGCCTTTGCCAGCTAAGGGAATTTCTCATTAAGAAAACAATGATATTTTACTTAAAAAACGATTGAAAACAATAATAATAACAGAATGAATCATTATGCAGCCTTCCCTATAACGATTTTTTTTGACTACATGTCTCGAAAACTTATGCAAAAATAACTCTGACAAAATAACTCAGACTCAAAAATTTTTTCAAAAATAACTTTGCGACACAATAACTGTAAAAAAAACTTTTACAAAAATAACTCGGCATGAACAAAACTTTTGATAATATTTTCATATTCATCCGATGAATTGTATTTACCGGCCCGTTACTGATGTGACAAATTTCACAATCACAATCGTGGCTGCCCGAGCGGTAAATCTTTGTTTATATTTTGACTGGAATTATTTTATAAAATCCAACTTGTACATTGTATTGTTTATCAAAAAAATTAGAAAATTGTAAAGTTATTTTTGTAAAAAATGAAAAAATGTGGATGGCTTTTTACTATATCTCTCAAAAAATAAAAGTATAATTCTGCAGTTATCTTTGCCAAAGTTATTATGCCCAAAGTTGTTTTATCGGGAAATTATTTTAGTCAAAGTTTTTTTGTCGCGAAGTTATTTTTGCAGAAGTTTTTAAGTCCGAGTTATTTTATCGGAGTTATTTTGGCATAAGTTTTCGAGACGTGCTACCATTTTTTTTCCATCTTCCAGATGAGTCGGAAGCAACCACTTCCTTCCTGATGCAACTCTCCACATGGGACAAGGAAGAACTCGACGACAAGCTTGCCCACCGTGTCCAGGTCTCGAAACGCGCAGTTTCGAAGGTCGTCCAAGCCTTCGATCGTCTCTCCCAACGTAACGAGAAGATCACCCTTGCGTTGAAAGGAGAATACGAGGGCGAAGAAGCTCCAAACATCGACGAGGTAGTTCGCAAGGCCAACAACGAGATCCAAACCGAGAATAGAAACCTTCAGGCTATCAATATTCAACTCCACGAGAAGTACCACACGATGTCCCTGAAGATGTCTGAACTTCAGGACACGATAACAGGTGAGAAAAGATTTTGGAGATAGTATTCTACGTAATATGAAATCATTATAGGTGCAGATCTGTCATAATAATAATTCATGATTGAAGAATACTAAAATGTTTAAATTTCTTGATTCATCAATATTGTCGAATCCAAAGAAAGACTCTTACATGTTTCTTGGGCCCTCTTGCCTCCCTAGATATTCCCAAGGACACTTCTGTAAGGAAGTGGTAAACTAGGATAACTGCAAATTTGTTGAAAATTTTTCTATTGCTTGAATCAAAAGTTTTCTCAAATGTGGTCAAATTTTTTAACTCTCCTGAAAAAGTTCCATTTTTGCACTTATCCTAATTTACTACTTCGCTATAAATTTCCAACTCATTATTTTCTCTCTTCACTTCACTGTGAAAATTCTAACGACTGTTTTCCTCCCTCACGATGCAGGTAAGGACACCTTATCAGCAGAGCTTCGTAACCAAGTAGACGATCTCCAGTACGAACTGAACAAAGTCCGAGCGAGGAACGACAAGCTAGAGCACCACTTGGGCGAGGCAATAGAAAAGCTGAAAGCATTCCAACAAATCCATGGGACCGACGACAAAGGGACGAACAAACCGAGCACGTTGGTCCCCTCAAGTGTATCTCAGACGAAATTAGAGGATCTCCAACGAGAACTGGAGGAGACAAGAGAATTAGCTAACAATAGACTTCAGGAATTAGATAAACTACATCAGCAGCATCGAGATGCATTGAAAGAGGTCGAGAGATTGAAGATGGATATTAGACAGCTTCCAGAGTCTGTGATAGTGGAGACGACTGAGTACAAATGCCTTCAGTCCCAGTTTTCAGTTCTTTACAATGAATCGATGCAGCTGAAGACTCAACTGGATGATGCGAGAGCGCAATTGCAGACGAGCAAGAACTCTCATTTGAGGCATATCGAGATGATGGAGAGTGAGGAGCTGATGGCGCAGAAGAAACTGAGGGGCGAGTGCATTCAGCTGGAGGATGTCCTGGCCCAGTTGAGAAAGGAGTACGAGATGCTGAGGATTGAGTTTGAGCAGAATTTAGCTGCCAATGAGCAGACTGGACCCATTAACAGAGAGATGAGGCATCTTATCACTTCTCTGCAGAATCATAATCAGCAGCTCAAGGGAGAGGTTCATAGGTATAAGAGGAAATATAAGGAGGCTTCTGCTGAGATTCCCAAAGTGAGTGAACACGTTGATTCCGAATGGAAGCTTTGTATTCGTTTCAAATTTAAGGATCCAATAGGGAACGTGCATGAAGCTCAATTCTTTCTAATTCTCCTATTCACACATTTCTCATAATACATGGACAGCTAAACGTCGAAAATTATGGAAACATATTGTCTAGATGTCTTATGATATGCAATTGAAATCCAGTCGTTTTCGAGGCCAATTTTTCGGTCTTGACGTCACGAAGACGGCCAGGTAGCGCTTCATTGGTCAAAGAAGAAGAGAGTGGGGAGTTGTCCTCCATTGGCTGAGTCGCACCTCAAGATTGGGTTAGGTCGGCTCGGGCCATTCTGTGATTGGTCCAGCGAACAACTGGACTTTTAACAATTAATTATCAATTAATGAGCAATATTTCAAACGTTTATGAATGAAAAATAAATTATTCAGGTCCCAAACTTGAGATTAGAAAATTGAAAAAAATTCATGCAAGTTCTCTATTTTTTGGGTTAGGGTGACTAAATCAGTAGCGAAGCGATAAAACGGTTCAAGGTGAAACGGAACCCCTGCGTCGATATGAGTTTTTCGAATTGTATTTTCTTCTGCCATTATTATTTTTTATTTATGGAACTACTCCATTGACCCAACAATCCAAGGATCGAATCAATAAAGTAATTTCATGGATATAAAGTAATAATTGTAGGAGAAAACGCAATTCTAAAAATTTGTATAAACACAGGGATTTCATTTCCTTTATAGTTTGGTATAAACCACACTATAAATTCAACCATTTTCAATTAGCAAATTTGTCCCGGGTTCAAATCCCGGTCTGGACTATCCATTTTTTTTCGGTAAATATTTCTTGTTAATTCATATTGAGAATAATCCCGGATCCCCTCCTACCTCATCCAAATCCTGTCCAACTAATTTCCCCTGACGTCACAAAGATGTGGAACGCTATATAAATTCCCTTCTTTAATGAAAAATGTCAATGACAAAGTTTGTCAATTAAATTACGTGAGAAAAATTGGAAAAAAATTAGGAATATTCAGCGCCATTCAAATGACTTTTTGCACATAATCACTACTTTTTTAATCATTTGTTATTTATAAATATGTGAATTGATTCGGAAGAAAATTGCTAATTGGTTAATAACAATTACAATACTCATTTATGAAAAAATGCAATTGTCCATTTGTTTATTTTAAAATTAATTAAATTATCACCGTCAGTTCACACTGCTATTATTTGTGTTAAGGTAAATATCCCGGTACCTGAATCAGTCCCAATAGCTGAATCGCCGAGTATCCGATTGCCCATTTCTTTCGATAAGTAATTATTTATTCTCAAAAATGATAATATTTAATTTTTTAAAGAAGCGTAGGGTTTCAATGATTCTAACGAAATAAATTCCATGCAGTTGGTATTCCCAAAAAAATTTGGATTCAGCAATTAAAGTTGATACTTGGTTGAATTGCTCCCTTCGATCCGATTCCTAGTGTCAGCTGCTAACAGGTGACTCATCAAATGATAGTGATTCATTCTGTCATGCGAGTATTGAAAAATTAGTTAAACAATTCATCAAGCAGGGACTGACTTAAACTTTTATAAAAGTAGTAAAAATTTCGAGAAAAACAATTTTTTATGCCAATAAATAGCTATTCAGGTATTGGGCCATCAGGCCTAACCTATGTCCGAGTAGCTGAATTCGTTGTTTCACTATTAAGTTTCGTTATGTTACACGTATGAGATATTGTCATAAGTGAAACTATCGAAAATCCTTCAGTGCACGTGAATAAAATAATCAGAAATTTTTTTTTCTTCAAACAAAATTTTTCCTCTAGAGAAAAATGTCTGCACACCTATCGACTGGAATCTGAAGAGTCTTATTTTATTGAGAAAACTTACTGAATGTTTCTTCTATTTGCATAATGTCATGATGATGATCCATATGTCATAATATTCGTACCAATCTATTATTTAATGAACGATGTTTATTATTAAGTGTGGATTTCCGTGGCAATAACTTGTGATTCAACTACTGGGACATGGGGATTCAGGTATTGGGACATGGACGTTTTTTGGGTTCAACTACTAGGAAATAGCTCTTACATACTAAATTCGTTTAGTTTGATGTTTGTTTAATATTTTTATAGCTAAAAATGATTGTTTTCAGTCAAATAAAGTTGGATAATCCTCCAGAATAATTCCTCTATGACCAATATGACCGAATTTCTTTTTATGCACGTTCTTTCATCGACTCTTCCTTAAAGAGTTAGCTACCGGAACATTCACCTTACAATGAAAAGTAGTGTATTTTAAAACCCCAAAAATACTTTCCAATTTTTCAGTTAAAAAAAGAGATAGAAGAACTGACAACAAAGCTCGGGCAGCAATCGTCCCAGGAGAGTAAAGAGGGGAATAATTCTGATGGGAGTTGCAAAGAGGAAGAGACGATGAACTCTTTGCCAGGTTCCATGCAGATTAAAGAGGAAGGTGCTTCCATAAAACGTGAATTGGGGATTGATGAGGAGGTCGAGGCTATAGAGATAGGTGAGGGTGAAGGAAGTAAAGGAAATAGTGACTCTCACGCATTGACTTCACCAACCCTCAAGAAAGAGAAGGACATCAAAAGGGAGAAGGATGTTAAGAAAGAGAACGCAGTGAAAACTGAACACAGGGATCCAGCGCATAGACTCAAGGATGCTAAAGTGGCTGAATCTGAGATTGTGAGAGATCTCAAGGCTCAACTTAAGTAAGTCAATTGTTTAAAATTAGACAAATTCCAACCGCCCCAATTATCATTAATACATCTCCACTGGGCCATTATGCGGTCAATAGTAACAATATTAATGTGATAAAAGTGAAAGCGAAAAAAACCCTTATTTTTCCAATAGCAAAAGTTTCAAGAACTAAATTTAAATGTTCTCGAAATGTTCTCATCAGGGCGTCATTTTATTATACAACTCTTATGCCGTGAGATGTTTAGGCATCTTGCAGAACTCCAAACGCAGCAAAAATAAAATCACTAAAACGGTACTAGTCAATTTTGACTATTGACTAGTTTTCAGTGAATATCTCGGAACCTAAAGGAGATAGCAAAATTTTTGTTATAATCTTTTTTGTAGAGCCAGTTGTGAGCTACAACAAATGTAATTACGAAAATTTCGCTATCTCCCTTAGATTCTGAAAAATCCTATCCTATTTTATTAAAGATGAAGGAAACGTGAAGTTGTTTTATATCGAAATACCTCGAAACTGCCTGACCGCTAATCCTTAATTCTGATTGGTCAATATGTGACATGAAATTATTCACAAAAAAAAAAACACGCGGCATTTTCAAATTCTTCAGTGGTAACTTTTTTTTTCACGTCATATATATATATATATATATATATATATATATATATATATATATAATATATATATTTCACATGTATATATATTATCGGTGAAATTAATAAATTCTGTCCTTTTATGGAAACCGATTATTTTTAAAAATTGAAGATAATTAATTAAAAATGAAAAATTCTTTATAGATTCTTTTACTCTACTTCGCTATTCACTTTAATCATTAGTCGAATTCTCTTTGATTCATTATCAATATTTATAAGGTATTCATGAGAAAATAGGATTTAATGAATTCTATTTCTTCATTTCAACAAATGAATAAATCAGCGCGCGCATAGATTTTGTTTTTCAAAAACTCAATTGGGAGATAAGTCGACTTCAACCGTTTTACCATTTCGCTACTGAAATAAAATCAAAATCTAGTCAATAATTCTCAAAAATCTATATAACCAAATTCATGATGATTATTAACCCTCTGGCGAGAAAGTCCTACCAATCCCTGTCGGTGTGAGCGGGAGTGGGTGTACGAGCAACCGTGCTACACTGAAAAGACAAAAGTTTTTTGAAAAGTACGTCTTGCATCAAGAAATTCATAACTTGAAAATTACCAAGCGCACAATATCTCACACTAAGAAAAAAAAACTAACGCCAAAAAATTTTATACTTGTACAAAAGATGAGGGCAATTGGTTCATATCAAGAAAACAAATTCTCACATCAATTCAAGTGGTTTGTGCATTAAAATATTTTAGGATTGAGGCTAAAAAACTATTAAATGAATTCTACAGAGAAACCCCATAGAATTTTTATAGAATTTTCAAGCGAATTCGCTAGGTTTTCTATTAAACTTTTTCATTCGTGCGTTTTTGAACTGAAAATGTTTTTTGTCGATGACTCGAGGACTTAAAAATATAAACCGAGCTTTAGTCAGTGTTTGCACTGGGAAATTCTCCTGGAAAAAAATTAAACTATATCTACATTGTGAATACTTTCTATCATTGAAGGAAAACAGTCAACGAAATGAAGGAAATGAAGCTCCTCCTGGACATGTACAAAGGTGTAGGCAAGGAGCAGCGTGACAAGGTTCAACTGATGGCAGCTGAGCGAAAAACTCGAGCAGAACTTGAAGAACTTCGTCAACAGTTGAAGAAAATCCAGGTGAGCATTAAAACCCCAAAAACCCAAGTAGGAAGAACCATCAGTTTTCCTTTCTTTGACGAAACAATTCGTCTCTTTTATGTTCGTTTTTAAAAACGCTTGTAGAAAATCACATATATACCGAGCATCGAAAGACGTTTGAATTACAGGAAAACAAGAGGGAAGAGCGCAAGAAACTTGCTGATGAGGATGCGCAGATCAAAATCAAGAAGCTGGAGGAACAGACTTACACACTTCAGCGACAGGTTGCTTCACAAAAACAGGTATAAAGTTAAATTTTAATAACAGAAATTACCCTTACACTTGTCAAGTTTAAGAAGGAATAATTTTAGTCTAGGGATGGAAAGGAAATGATGGAGAAAAATTTTCAATGATTTGTGTCGTTACACACTGAGAGAAAAACTAACAATCCATTTAGTAATAAATTAAACGCTTGAATGGAAATTTGAATATTAGAACATTGAAAAATGAAGAAGTTGTCGAACAAGTTTAGTTTGGACCAAACAAAATCGCTAGTTGAAAATTACTAAAAAGAAATGGTTTCACTTATTGTTTGAATTATTCATGTGTCACTCAAACATGAATAATTGTTATGCTTTCGAAAACAATGAAATACTTGGTTCAAGAGGGATTATTCAGACGAAAGAGTGCCTGTGCAGGATGAAAATATCTCGTATAGAGGAAAGTTTGTCAAGTAATATTTTGTCCCCAAGTTGTAAGAATTCTATCATATCTTCATTGTTATTTCATTTAAGGGTTCATTTCTTGTCTGTGCCTTGTCATCTTTAAATATTTCAGTTATGTTGAATTATGAGATGATTATGCTACACATGATCTTGAATGAACAACCTTCATTATTTTTCTTATTTTTTTTAATTTTAGATTTTCTTACGTAAAATAATTTGGAATAATTCTAAATGTTGATCATTGTTAATGCAGTTCATTGGCTTGTGGTGTGAAATTCCGTCTCACTCGTATCGAAGTATACTATTTCGGGCATTTAAAATTTGCTTTTCCTCACTACACTCAAAGATTTACGTGGAGTTCGAATATACTTCTTTAGTTTTCGTTTACGATTTATTGCCGATTTTAATCTTCACAATGTAAGTTAAGTTTATACTACCTTAATGAACTTCACAGAGAAAAAAGTTTTTAGTATCCAAAATCAACTTACGGATTTCGAGGAATGTATGGCTCGAATTAACTGCTTGATTCCAGAAGAAGAATCTTTGAAATTCAGTAGGGGAGGGTGGGGTAAAATGGACACTAGACTTTTTTAAAATTATTTATAAATCAGAAACAAATTTATCAATTGAGCTCAGTTTAGGCTCGTCACGAAGGGAAGAATTATTCTTTGTATTGAAAAAAAAGTTATTAAATTTTATCAACATTTCAACCCCTCATTAACATTTAAAAAAAGTCAAAAGTGTCCGTTTTACCCCAACCTCCCTTACCAAAAACCTATTAAAATTTATTATGAAACTAATAACATTCGATGGAGATAAAATTCAAGAATGACTGAACATTAATTCAACATTGATTGGTTCAATGTGTCGGGTGATAAACTTTTGATATTGAAAGGGTTATCAATTATATTAATTAATTTTGCTCTTCCTCTCCATATTCATCAATATTCAGTTGGCATCAAAGAAAGAATTGGAGAAATTATATAACTTGTATTAGGGGCGAGTGGGGCAAAATGAAACAGCTGACAAACGACTATTTGAGGCAATTCAAGCTAAAAAAAATTTTTATCACCTTTTGTTTATGAATTTTTTTTATATTATTGGGAGTACTGATGAGAATAATTTTTTATTCTATAGAAAAGAACATGCGGCGCGAAAAAATCACTGATATTCGAAACCCCTATATAGCGTATCGACTAACTCCACAGATGAATCCCACTCCACTGTTAGATCTCTATCTCAACGTCCACTAGTCAGCTTGTCCCCTGACTCTCCAGCAGCCAATCTAAAACCTCGTCAGCGAAGGTTTTTCATATATTTCTTATATCAAGACGACAATATTAATAATTTTCACTAGTTTTATCCACAGTTCTCTTTCCAAGTAATATGAAATATTCAATCTATAATTCAATTGATTAGATTAAGGTGATTACACTTTTCTTTTTTCATTCGATTCAAATTCCGCATGACATTTTCTTTTTTCCCCCTCTGGATTTCCCCCTGGACTTTGGATTTTGCTGATTCATTTTCTTTTCAATTAATCCATTCACAAAATCTTCTGTCAAAACTTCCCAATAATTTTCCATTCTACTGAATGGAAAATTACTATTCTCATCAGTACTCCCAAAAATAATCAAAAGTTGATAAAAAAAATAGTTGATAATAGTACATTAGACTACAAGGGCACAAATTTCGTTTTCAACGAATGTGTAGTTTACAGGCTGAGCCGAAGGCGAGGTCTGTACACACATTCGTTGAAAACGAAATTTATTACCGAGTGCTCTATAATATTTTATGTCAAGTCGCGCAGCTTGCTCAAAACTCGACTTCTGCACGATGTGGCATAAAATAGTGTAGACCACTCGGGCATAAACTTCGTTTTCAACGAATGTGAATACAGACCTCGCCTTCGGCTCGGCCTGTAAACTTCACATTCGTCGAAAACGAAATTTGTGCTCTTGTACTCTAATGTACTATTGTTTTACTTGAACTGCGTCAAACAGTCGTTTTTCGACTGTTTTATTTTGCCCCACATCTCCCTTATTTCTCCAATTTTTCCTTTCATACCATCTGAAAATTGTATTAAGATGGAATGATAAATTTCGGAGATATTTTGAAAAATATGGAAACATCGATTTTGAAACGGGGAAAATCTTCAATTCAAGCACGAGAGTATTTTTAGTTTGCAAACGAGGACGTTCTCGATTCAAAAACCAAATTAGCTTGAAAATTTTAAGAAAAGTTTCTTGAATTTAGTTAGATTGAACTAATTATAATAAATCAGTAGCGAAGCGGTAAAACGATTTGAGTCGACTTACCTCTCACCTGAGTTTCTGATTAATATCTCCGAATCTAAATGAGATGGCGAAATTTTTGCCATAACCTTGTTTGAAACGTAACTCAACCTCTCCAAGACCAAGGTCGATCAGCTCGGCCAATTACGAAAATCATCGGCCTTTTCCGGGTTAACGCTCAGGTCTAGTAGAGTCACCGTAAATCAACGCGAGTCAGTACATCACGGTCTGTCGTATAGCACGTTTTGAATGGAATTCAATTCTGTAGAGTTTAGACCACAGTACATTAGCGTCTATTAACTCGGCGATAGAAATTCAGTAAAAGAAAATCACGTTATTTGTTGACCATTCAACCAGTGACTCACAGTGCAAAACCGATAGACAATTAAATTAACTCAGTACGATCAACAAGTGATAAGCTGTTTTTGTAAATTTGACAAAGCGTGGTTCGAACTCGAGAATAAATGCACGTGGATATTAGTTCAAGACTCTCAACAATTATTTCACACCGACGATCCTCTAACCTCCCAATCCACCCTAAATCTAGTTCCTCACCAAACAAACCTTTTTTGTAGCTCCCAAGTAGTTCTACAAAAAAGCTAATTACACAAATCTCGCTATCTGCTTTAGATTCCCAGATATTCATTGAAAACTGACCAATAGGCGAATCGCCTTGAACCATTTAACCTCTTCCCTATTGAAATATTTAATTCTTGGGATTAGTTGAAATAAATCAGTCAAAATAATCGAAAATGGAAGAAAATATTCCTCAATTTAAGAACAATTATACTAGATGTCAGTAAAAAATACTGAGAACTTGAGTCATCGTCTGATTTCTGTGAAGAATCTTAGAATAAGTTGAATTTTACTAATTTACCACGATTTGCTCACTAGATTTTAGTACGATAAAGGTCTGAACTCATTGATTCATAGATTTTTTTTGGAAACTAGAAACTTTTTTATGGTGATGCCAACATTATTAAATACTGAAGACAATTTTTCTTTTCATCACTTTCTTTGATGAAAAAAATTTTTCCTTTTTCTTTGTTATAATCAAATCAATGTAAATAATGAATCCATAAGAAAAACTAATACAATAATGCAAACCAGTGTTAAGATAATTTTAATAATTCGAAAAGAACATTTGCTTAACACTGAACAGAATTGCGTTTGGATGCAGGAAGAGGAAGCGTTATTAAACGAAATGGAGGTAACTGGCCAAGCATTTGAAGATATGCAGGAGCAAAACTCTCGTTTGATTCAGCAATTGCGTGAAAAAGATGACGCCAACTTCAAATTAATGACTGAGAGAATAAAAAGTAATCAATTGCATAAATTAGCCAGAGAGGAGAAAGATGTTCTCAAGGAGCAAGTTACGACGTTGACGACGCAAGTCGAGGCGGCCAATGTTGTTGTTAGAAAACTCGAAGAGAAGGAGAGACTTTTGCAGAACTCACTGGCAACTGTGGAGAAGGAGCTGGCGCTGAGGCAACAGGCGATGGAGATGCACAAGAGAAAGGCTATTGAGAGCGCACAGAGTGCGGCTGATTTGAAACTTCATCTTGGTGAGTTTTCATTTTTTACTAAAACACAAGTTGAGCAGTAATTTTGTGTCAACACTTCAAGTGACACTTGGAATGTTATTTTCTGCAGTTTTTGCTTACAAATGGAAGCTTTGTAACCGTTCAAATTTAAGGGTATTCACACTGAGAGAAAAACAAGCACGTTGTCAAAAAGTCTTGTTTGGGCCACTAAAATCGCTAGTTGAAAATTGCCAAAAAGAATTTGTTTGATTCGAATTTTAAAGTCTCAAACATAATAATTGCTCTGCTTTCGACAGAAACGAAATATTTGGCTCAAGAGGCGGATAGTTCACACCAGACGGTGCCTTTTCAGGATGAACATATCTCATATAGAGGAAAATTTATCAACAAATATTTTGTCCCTAAGTTACAAGATTGCTATCATATTGTTATTGTTTCATTTAAGGGTTCACTTTTTGTCTGTGATTATTAGACAGTCAAAACGAAAAACTACTATCCCTTGTTTCGCATAAAACAAAGATTTTTCGGGAGAAAAATACGTATGGGAGTATCGAATAACCAAGGAGTAGTGCTAGAAATGACATTTCTTGCGTGTACAGAGAATGCAATTTTTTTTGAACTACTAAATCTATTTTTGTGACAAAAATTTTTCGTCCCGGCGCACTCTCGGCATGTTTGGCACAAAAAGATCATTTTTTGATCATTTTCATTGACAATTTTCATTAAAATAAATTTTGATAAATTTAACATTCTTTCATAAAAAAAAAACATTTTCTGTAGTCAGGGAATTTCATCAATTTGACCGAGAAAATTCATGGAAAAGTCAGGGAATTTTGTTGAAACTTCCAAGTGGACACCCTGAAATTGAATTAAAAAAAAAATCCTCTCAATTCTGTTTACAGAAAAATATCATTCACAAATGAAAGAAGCTCAGCAAGTAGTCGCCGAGAAGACAAGTTCCCTCGAGGCAGAAGCCTACAAAACCAAGAGACTTCAAGAGGAAATTGCCCAATTACGAAGAAAAGTGGAAAGAATGAAGAAGATCGAATTGGCGGAAACTCTGGACGAAGTTATGGCTGAAGAACTCAGGGAGTACAAAGAAACCCTCACCTGTCCCTCCTGCAAAGTCAAACGCAAGGACGCAGTACTCACTAAATGCTTCCACGTTTTCTGCTGGGATTGTCTTCGCACCCGATATGAAACTCGTCAAAGGAAATGTCCAAAGTGCAACTGTGCATTTGGTGCCAATGATTATCATCGTTTGTACCTTTCGACGTGAAAGAAATGTTCTAGATTAACTAAGAAGTAATTTTATCTTCCCAGAAATATTCTCCTCAATCGAAAAAAAGGTGCAAAAAACTTTTGTACAAATGAGTTCTTTTTCGTTCTCAGGTCGATGAGAATTTTAATGTAAAGAATTTTTTTTTCGTACAAAGAGATTTTTTTTGTGTTTTTTTCCTACAGAAAGATTTGTTTCTTGTAAAGGCTATGAAAGGAGTTTGTTTTATGTGAAAAAAGAAATTTTTATTCATTTTGTTGGCGAAAGAAAGGGAATATTTCATTAAAAATTAATTGACTGTGTGCGTGCATGTGTAGGATTTCCAATTAGTACAATTGAGATGAAGAAAATCATGGACTCGCGTATTTAAAACTCTTGATGAATTGAATTTTTTATATTTATTCAGTAAATGTTGTACGAATGCTGGATTTATTATTTTTAAGATTAAACCGTATGGTAAATAGGTGAATATTAAATGAAAATTGATAAAACTATTTTTGTCGTTTTTTTCATTCTTAGAAATAAGTTTTAATGTTGCTCTAACATTTTACAAGCTTTACAGTAATTCCAATGGGAAAAAATGTCTATGATTTATTCCATCATACTCTGCTCATTGGTTGCCTCTGAAGTAATTAAACAAGGCTCGTAAGTCCATTTTGGGAAGACTCTCTTATATAAGTTTAACAAAATTGTGTCCTGAGACTTGAGTTGTCCATCGAAAACGCATTTCATGTGGCCATGAGTTCCTGGAATGATGAAAAACAAATTAATAAATAATAATGACAATAATTCATTTATTATCGCGGATTATATCTGTAGCGAAGTGTCCTAGTTTACGACTTCACTACAGATATTATATTATGATTATCAATTTCCACACGTAAAAACATTCTTGACAGTTCCAAGTTATGTCCATGGGTTCAAAATTTGCAGATGAAATTTGGAAATTTTCATCAAGTGACAATTCCACTGAAATTTCAAGGCATTAGGTGATTGAAAATTTATAATTTGATAAAAAATGAATGGAAACTCTAAATTTTAGTTCAATTATTTTATGGAAATCTGTAGAAGTCAGGAACATTCAGGTAAATATATTCTTTAGCTTCATTTGGTACTAAATATTCATAGTTTGATTGGAAATTTGAATAAATGGGGAAATTCTCGTCTTTTTGTTTCTCAAAAATTTTGGACTACAATGAATTTTCAGTGAAATCTGCAATTTCATGATTTTTTCCCCTAAATTGAATTCAACGTCTTGCTTCTAAAAATCATTGAAGTGCCATTTCCACTGAAATTTCAAGTAATTTCGTCGTTGAAAACTCGCAATTTGATGAAAGGATTAATGCAAACTGTAATAAGTTTGATTTCAATTTTTCCATGAACTGATAGAATTAATACAAATAAGAACAATTCAGGTAAATATATTTTTTCATCAGTTTGATTTGGTGCTAAACATTCATGTTTTGAATGAAAATCTAAATAAGTTGGAGAATTCTCGTCTCCCTCTTGCTCAGAAATTTTCGACTCCATTGAATTCTCAGTGAAATCTGTAATTTCATGATTTTTTTCCCCTAAATCAAATTCAATGTCGTTCTTCCGAAAATGACTAAAGTAACAATTGCACAGAAATTCCAAGCTATTTGGTCATTGAAAATTCACAATTTGATGAAACGATAAATGGAAACTGTAAATTTTATTTCATTTTTTCCATGAATTGATAGAATTAATAGAAGTATAGGTTTCACTCTGATTTGGTACTAAATATTCATGATTTGATTGAAAATTCAAGTAAATTGAGGAATTTACGTCTTCCTGTTGCTCAAACATTTTGGAATCCATTCGATTTTCTATACAAATTCAAACTTTATTTATTCCCCTAAATTAAATTCACTGTCGCTCTCTGAATTTTGTTATAGAAAATTCACAAATTGATAAAAAAATCAATGGAAACTCTAAATTTTAGTTCAATTATTCCATGAAAATTAATAGAAATCAGGAAAATTCAGGTAAATATATTCTTCGCCTTGAACTGCTAGTTTGTCTTCCTGTTACTAAAAAATTTTGGACTCAGTGAAATGAATTTCAGTGAAATGTGAAATTTCACTCTTCTAAACATTAAAACAAATTTTTCCATGAAATTTCATATTTTTTCATGGTTCTTATAATATTAACACGATTTTAGTTTCAAACATGTTCGTTGAAGCTCTCTCAACTCACTAATTAATATTCCAAATTGGAATATTAAGGCCCGGGTGTACTATCTTTCGAATGTTATCTCGATCTTTTTTTTCATCTTTCGTCATCTGAAATTGTCAATTGAGTCCTGCATCATGCAGAAGTTTTGAAAAATTATGAATGAATAAAAAAAAAAGTAGAAAAAATTCTTAATTTTTTTTCAACTCATTCTGAATCTCAATTAAAAACGCTCTTTCAAAAAGTTCAGAATTTTTTCTATTTTTTTACTCATTCTATCATAATTTTTGGGAATTTCTGCATGAAGTATCACTCAATTGACAATTTTGGATTACGAAAGATGAAAAAAATCCAGATAACATTCGAAAGATAGTACACCCCAGCCTTAAATTAGAAAACCGTCTTCATCTTCCCCAAAAGTGAATTAAACTTTGAAACACAAAAAAAGAGATATTCTTCAATTTCCAATCACTCTGTCCGTGTTTATCCTCAAACTCTCCCAGAGACCCCCAAAAAAATGAAAAACTCACCCAAAGGCTCTTTAATATGTCCCCTGCGTCCATACTTGGTCCTCAGCCCGACAGGTTTAAACCAATTGATATCGTCCCTCTCAAAGAACATGAACCTGACGACAGCGCTCCTCTTGTGCACCTTGAACGGATGCCCGGACAGGACAGCCCTCTTGATGACCAGTCGATTGGGCTCGGCATTGAGCACACTGCCCCTACCCACCACCTCCAGCCTGCCATCCCTCATCTCCTTGTAACAGATCACTGGACAAGGGGGGAATATTATCGGGGCGAACATGCTGGCCACCACAGTGTCCTCAGGCTGCAGGAACCTGACGAACTTGTGTTTAGATCCGTTCGTGTGCTGACTGAAAACAGGACAAGCACTGAATCGCCTGAATCCACACTGAAATACCAGTCGTTCCTTCGATTTTATGGGTTCAGCTCCACTGATTTGACTCTTCAAGACGACATTCAGCAATGACATCTTGTTTTCATTTGGCAGAAGACCGAAGACGATCAGTGGACGATCGTTCAAGGTGCGGAAGGCGTCGAAGAAGACTCGAGGAACGTTCCTCACGTGCAGAGTGATGAACCATCCGGGCTTCGCTCCATCGGAGTCGTCCGTTTCCTTCAGAATTCTCTTTCTCGTACGTTCGAAGTTCGCGAACTGGAAAATTCGGCTGTAGTCGAAGGGGAGGTTCTCCTTGGGGTCCCAGGGACTCGTCCTGAAGGACTCCAGTCCTCGGTATTTCTGGAATCTGATGCGCGCTGGTGTGTCCTGGGGGGTGTCAACCTCGTCGGGGAATTGAGCGTCTGTTTTGGATTCCTTGAGCTTCTGCATAGCAGTTTTTTCCTCGTAGAAGTCCATCTCCTCGTCGTATTTCTGGTGGTCTGGGGGCGCTTCGGACACGGTCATTGTTTCGAATTCTTCGTCGTTAGGGGGCTGATCCTCGTCGTCTTCGGATTGGACGGATGCTATCGACATTTCGTCGTCAGAGGCGGTGGAGTCGGGGTCAGAGTCGGGCTCACCGTCCTCGTCGGGGATCCAGGCGGCTTGGTACTCTGATGTGCCCTTTTGAGACACAAGGTGTCAAGAAAACCATTAGCGATCATCAGATTTTGCGAAAGAATGGGGGGAAGAGTTGAGGAGGGGAGCCGGGGAATTTTCCAGGTTAAAAACTGTGGTTGCTGATTTATTTGTTTAAGGGGAGAGACTACTATGAGTTTTGGAGTGAGACTTTTCATACGTTGAAGATCGATTATATAGATCTGAAAACGAATAATTAGTGCAAAAACAAATTTTTATTGTTCGTTTGTCCGAAAACGCTTAACATGCTAAAAACAATCCAGAGCCTCCAATTTTTGAGGTACAAAAGATTTTTTTTTTCAAAATTTCGCAAAAATGTGTGGAACAACAATTATGAGCCAGTTTTTTGGAATTCGACTCCTACACAGCTGATTTCAGTTTTTTCATATAAAAACATTCACTATTTGTGTAAAAAAATACAAAAAAAAAGTTTAGCCATGTAAGAGGCGAATTAAAAAAAAATAGCTCGTAATTGTTATTCCACATATTTTTCCGAAAATTTTGGAAAAAAAATCCTTCGTAGCTTTAAAATTGGAAGCCCTGGACTGTTTTTGGCATTTTGAGCGTTTTCAGGCAAACGAACAATAAAGAAAACTTTTTTGCACTAATTATTCGTTTTCAGATTTTTTCACGTTTTTTGAAACGACTTTTAAAAAACGTGAAAAAATCGACTTTTAAAACTCATAGTAGTCTCCCCGTAAGGGCAGGATCTTTGGGGGGAGTGGGGTAAAATGAAATATGGGGGGAAATGAAACAACTGAAAACGACTTTTTTCAATTCAAGCAAAACAATTTTTTTTATTAAGGGGATACGTCGGTGAAATTTAAGTCTTCATGGGACCCATTGAACAGTTAGTGATATATGACGGTTAGTGAATATGGAAATAACTAGGGAAAATCGCGGACCCGATCGATTTTACCCCGTATAATCACGAAAAACTTAATTTTTTCCTATTTTTACCTTCAAAATGCTCCTTACGCCGTAGTTTTCATACGATTTTAGCTTTGTTTTCAAAATGTTCGTTACACTCCAAAGAATAAAGTTAAGCATCCGTTTTACTTTGTTCGCAATAGATCATGCACAAATGAATTTTGAATTTTCGTGTCTCTAGAGAAGGACTGAAAATTGAACATTGTAATCATACGTAATCTAATTTTTATGAACAAAAAAATGGCAGGTTGAAGCAAAACGGCGAATGTTCCAACGCAAATCAATTACTAAAAACAATGAATTTTTAGTACTATTCTAGAGACACGAAAAATTTATGAAATTCAAAATTCATTTCAGTAGCGAAGTGGTAAACCGGTATAAGTCGATTTTGACTATTGGCCAGTTTTCAATAAATATCTCGGAATCTAAGGGAAATAGCGAAATTGTTGTAATGTCCTTGTTTGAGATTGAAGCTAAATTGAGATGCCGGTTGGAGAAAAGTGGGATTGTGAAAGGAGGTGGAAAATTAAAACACGCGGAATTATAAAACCACACTGTTGATGTACTTTATTGTGGAATAACCCACGCGTCTTGATAAATTAATAATGTTACACTGTTGAGTTGCTCGACAAGTCAATAAAAATGATGGTTTGAAAAATGCACTGCACTTGAGATTCTCTCGATATTGAACTTGATGATTGACTCAAAATAATTGATACTTAACTCGGAATTAATTGATAATTGAATTGAATTAAATAGAGACGCTATACAAAGCGCTAGACTCAAATGTATCGCGTTGATGTACTCCAGTGATGTACTCGATTGAGCGGTTACGGCGATACAGTACTGTGATTAGAGTGACTCTCTCGGTGGCTAGAACGATACTACAGACTTTTTCGGGGATTTTCTTCGTAGTTGACTGTGACCCCGAAGGATCCCGAAGTTTCTCGAGATTTTCGTTGAGCCCGGTGACCGTTTGACTAGTTTGAATAGCTGAATTTCAAACAGTCCTTTTTTATAGGTCTCAATTCGCTATACAAAAAAGGTTATGACAACAATTTTGCTATTTCCCTTAAATTTTGAGATATTCATTGAAAACTGAGCAGTAGTCAAAATCGAATTATACCGGTTTACCACTTCACTACTGATTTATTCATGATCTATTGCGAATAAAGTAAAACGGATGCTTAATTTTATTCTTTGAAGTACAACGAATATTTTGAGTCGGAGATATTCTAGAGATTTGAAGGGTTCTTCCAATCTGTCAGAAAATAAAAGAAAAAAATTAAAGCTAAAAAAAATATAATCAAACCTTTGGCACTAGCTTCACAATTTTCCGTTTTTTCTGATCTTCAAGTGCCTGAGCGAGTTCCTCCTCAGTGGGCCAGGTCTGTTCTGCATCCATAGGATCAGGAATATTCTCAGACTGCAGAGACTCCTGTTTCGCAGGGTCTGCCACCTCTAAAACCCTCGTTTCTGACATCTTAACTTCCCCGTCATGTTTCCTGGACTTCTCCTTATCTAGGGGATAAGGATCATCCGAGGCGTCGATCTGAGACATCTGGAAGTCCCCGAAACCCGGAATGTGGATCAGGGAATTCACAGACAGTGGACGACCCCTTAGATACCCCGAGATCTCCAGAGTTCCAGTCTTTTCATCGGAGGACGAGAATTTGAGCTTTTCTGCTATGAGATGGGGTCTCCGGTTTCTGTAAGTCACAGCTCTCTGCTTCTGGGCCCCTGTCTTTCGTAGAAGGTTCAGGGCGTCGACTGGCTTGTCCAGGGGGTGGATTTTATCCTCAGGGAGCCATTTTGAGAGGACTTCTTGGGTTGTTTGTTTCACATCTTGTCTTTTCTGAAAGTAATAATCAGGTTTTGATCATTTTTTTTGTTTTCACCATATCTGGAAAACTTTATTTTCATATAAATCCCACAGCATAAAGCCAACAAGAGGATCAAATTGATTTTGACGAAACGTTTAATATTAATTCAGTAGCGAAGCGGTAGAACGGTTTAAATCGATTTGGCTCTTAGCTGAGTTTTTCAGGAATATCTCCGAATCTAAGGGAGATAGCGAAATTTTCGTGACAATCTTTTTCGTAGCTCTCAATTCACTCTACAAAAAAGGTCATGGCCAAAATTTTGCTATCTGCCTTGGATTTCGAGATATTCATTGAAAACTAACCAATAGTCAAAATCAATAACCGTTTGACCGCTTCGCTACTGAATTGAATTTTTGTGGTGAAAATGTTCACATTACACGAAGTACCTCAACTTGATAGACCTTTTCATCCTGAGAGTCACTAGATTTTCGGCCACTTTTGAAATTGAGATATTCATCGAGAACTGGCGCTAGAATGGAATTGACTTAAACTGTTTGACCACTTCACTACTGAAATTTCACCACTGTTATTATTTATTCATCTATTTCATCATATTTTCTAGCTTCCAGTTCATGTAATTTCTGGTTAAATAAAGAATAAAAATCCAAAAATTCACCCATGCAAGGGTAATAATGAAAAAACAAGCAGGGGGCCGAGCCTATTCGACTGAAGAGATATGATTGTTTCTTTATGCGTTGTTAGCCTTTTTATCTTTCATCTCTATCAATTTAATTGGTGTAAGCTTCCGAATGGATCCGTTGCAATTTTATTTTTAAAAAATAATAAGAAGATAAAAATTCCGATTTGTGGTGAATAAAAAATTTCAGTTTCTGTAAGACGCAAATTCTCCGATTTTCTCAATTTTCAAGTAAAACAAGTTTCTTCGTGCCAAACTTCAGATTAATATGTCAATTTTTTCCAAAATTAGAGTGTAAAGACGGATTTTTAGCGAAAAATCGAAAAATTTTAATTTCTCGGGAACTTTGCATGAATCACTTGCATGAATTGTGCATATTCCATATTTTAGCCCTTTATTCGTTCAATTTCCTAAAAGTTGACCACCAAGTGAATCAAGTTGACCACGCGCACATACATACATGGCCCTCAAACTTCGTATTTTTGCGTTTCAGACCATTCTACATAATTTCCAGGAAAAATTAGAGAATTGTTACCTTGATAGGGATGGACTCCAGATCTGTTATCGCAATGATAGTGGTGGGTAAACCCTGAGCTAGACATGCCTCCAGTATCTCCTCCCCCCAGGAGTCAATCGTTTCAGATTTTTGAGTACCGGAGGCGTCCAAGGCTACTGAAGACACGAATAGAATTGTTGTCGACACTTTTGCTGCATCTAAAGTTGCGAATGTGTTTCCTATCGGTGGGACAATCAAGGTGAAACGTTGCTTGAATCTAGGGACTCTGAAAAAAAAATTTCATTATTCCAAAAATTGAAAAACAATATTGCTGAGATAATTTGTGTTTTTATGTTTTGAATGCGTACGAGATGTGAGTGAGCCCTTGGGGACTCTCAGCCACTTCAGCAGTTTCGTCTGCACCTGTGAGACTGCTAATAACAGTCTTAACGTCAAAATCTTCCTGAAGGGGAATAATCGCAATCAAAACCGGTGGAGCAGAGGAGCCCCCGAGATTCCTCTTGGCAGCCAACACTTTCTCCCTCTTCTTGGCCCTCAGCTGCTGGCATTGGTGACGACGAGCCTCCTTACCCAATTCTTTTTTCGATCGTTTTGTAAATGATTTGACGCTCACTTTTCCTGGATAGACACAAATAGTAAATCAGTCATAAAGTGGCAGGTTCATATTGCGTACTAAATGGGAAAAGGTCATACTGATTTCATACATTTTGGGATTCTTAGGTCAACAAAGTGGAAAAAGGTCGGATAAACCTAGTTTAAGGAACGCAATCTAGAGGATTTGGGCTCTCTAGAAACATTTTAACCCAATTTTTAACACAAATTTTTCTCCAATAGAAATTTCTCTAGAATAATGTTCATTTCTTTGAAAGTAAAACCGAATATCATAAAAATGAAAACAGTGAAATTTTTTTTTTCTTTTTTCCACTATTGGAGAAATATTTGTGGAAAAAGGTCGTATGTGCAAAAAAAAATTGTCCTCAAAAGTTGGGTTGAAATGATTCTGTAGAGCCCAAATTGTCCAGATTTTATGTTCCTCAGATTAGTTTTATACGACCTTTTTTTACTTCGTTGGCCTATAAATTCCAAAATGGTTAATATGAAATTTTCCATTTAGCACGCGATGTGATAAACATTAAATTTGGCGTTTCTCCATTTATTTTGAGAACAAGTGATTTTAGAAAAGACAATTGATTTTTTTTTAATTTGTAGATGAAGACATTGTTCATCGGAAAATTGTATTTGATAATTTTTTTGCAGTCACTCGCTAATGAAATGATTGAACGAATTGACTAAACAATTTAAGTTGAATCTAAAATTGCATCACAATCGGACGATTAGAGAGTGAAAAAATTCCTGGTTTGCAGTAAAAATCTCTGAATTTAAGAATTCCGTCGTATCGAAATCGAGCGAACAAAGAATCCTGAAAATAAGTGGAATTTTTGCGTAAAGAAGTCTAAGCATCACTTAAATTTTGAAGATGAAAATCTGGAATAAATTGTAAACGAAAGTTAATTCAAATGAAGACATTCTGGTTGAATTCGTGTTCAATTGGCAGTCTAGTATTATTGATAATAATTAATTTAAAAGTGCCAAAATAACAGACTCGTATGAGAAAATGAATATTTCGAGATTAGAGAGAAGATTGAAATGTAGAATTTTTTTTTAAATCAGAATAAAATTAATGAAAACTTTATGCCTAACACGAAAATTATCGCCAGTGTCAAGCTTTCGTGATAAATAATTTATGTTTCTGGGTACCCCGAATGTACAGGAGCAACTATAATTTAAGAAAATAACTTTTGAGAGAATTTGATGGATGAATTTTCTACTTTTGTGAAAGTTATAATTTGTGTAAGAAATAACAATTATTATCAATGATTAATCATTTTTTTCCGGGCATTTTAAATTTATTTTTCTTTACTACACTCAACGACTTATTTACATAGAGTTTGGATATACTATTTTAAATCTATTCAGTAGCGAAGTGGTAAAACGGTACAAGTCAATTTTCACTATTGACCAGTTTTCAATGAATATCTCGGAATCTAAGGGGGATAGCAAAATTTTTATTATACCCTTTTTTGTAGAGCCGATTGAGAGCTACAACAAATGTAATTATGGAAATTTCGTTATCTCCCTTAGATTCAGAAATATTCCTCAAAAACAACTAGGAGATAAGTCGACTTAAGCCGTTTTACCACTTCGCTACGGAATTCCACTTAAAGTAGGGGAGAGTGAGACAAAAAGGTCTCTCCTATGATTGTTGTTTTGAAAAGATGATGATGAAGACGTGAATTATTTAATTTATTCAATTTTCGTGAACTTAACCAAAAATACCTTTGACTGCACTGCTGATGGAGCCTTTGCTCCGATGTCTTCCTGTTTTGTGAGCCTTGTTCGTCTGTTTAAAGACTCCAGCTCGATGAGTTTCTTGGCCAGTTCCCATTGTTTCCACTGAATTATTCGATTCAAGTTTTAATAATGAGTTGGAAAACAAAAGCAACAGGGAGCTCCACAAAATTCATGACAACTTTCTAGCCCACGTGTTTTGGCTTCGGTCGCTATCACATGAAACGACAGCGACATTATGGTGGTGTCGGGGTAGGACAAAATGACGGTCATGTGACCGTCATAAATTTTCGAACTGCAAATCAGTAGCGAAACGGTAAACCGGTTTAAATCGATGTAGACTATTTCGTTTTTAATGACTATCTCGGAATCTAAGGGAGATAGCAAATTTTGTGTAATAACCTTTTCTGTAGGCCAAATTGAGAGCTACAAAAAAGGTTATAATGAAAATTTCGCCATTTCTCATAGATTCGGAGATATTCTTCGAAAACTCAGCGAAGAGCTCAGTCGACTTAAACTGGTTTACCGTTTGGCTACTGAAATGATGGTCACAAATAATTTGTAAGCGTATTGTTTTCAAAACATCTATAGAGATACCAAATGATCGTGATTTTTATTTCAAAACGCAGATTAGGTTAATATAGAATGCATTCATATAAAAATTGATAAAGAAAAAAAGAAGTTGCATCTAGATAGGGAAGGGTGGGGTAGAATGGACACTAGACGTTTTTAAAATTTATTCATAACTCAGAAACAAATTTATCAATTGAGCTCAATTTAGGCTCGTCACAGAGGGAAATAACTGTTCTTTGTATTAAAAAAAATATATATCAAATTTTATCAATATTTCAACCCCTTATTAACATTTTTAAAAAAGTCAAAAGTGTCCGTTTTACCCCAACTTCTCCTAGATGAAAAATAACGGTAATTTTTTTTGGCAAATTTTGATGATCATATGAGGGGGGAGATATGAGTAGAGATGTAAAATGACCGTCATATAACGCACAAATTTTTTAACTAAAAACAATGGTCACATATAATTATTTAATACCAAATTAAATTGGAAGCAATTTGTTCTCAAAACATTTATACGGATGCATAATGATGATCATAACTGTGACGTTTTGGGGTTTTACCCGGAGGTAAAACTCTATGAAAGCTTCCTTATTCCTGCACTGTAATCCTTTTACTCTTGGTCGTCACTCCAACCTCGACTAGCTTCGGCGGTGAGCTCACGGGGGATTCGCTCACTCGGGGGATGTCGTGAAGGATATGAAGGGATAAGTTCTCAATAACCACTCGGATACTCAATACTTAAAGGGATGATCTATTAAGCTAGTTTCTGATACACGATAATGATCAAGATGGGTTGGTATAACGCGTTGCTAAATTGTCCGCGACTCAAACTTGGGACTTTGAGCCGATTGTATGGTTTAAGGCCTGAGCTTAGAGATCTGCTCTGTTCTGCTCCTGAACGTACTCTGCTCTCTTTCAGAGTCCTCGAAACTCGTCAAGCAGTCTCACGGTTTTCTTCACTAATACTATTTTTATGTCATCATTGACATGAACTAAAACAGTCAAACAGTTCAGTACACCTGAACTTGACTCTGCCTAACCATGGGACTGCTCACCAAGATGTCCAAACGACACCGTGGGATTGCTGACCAGTGTCTGGATGACAGGAAAGAGAAATCATATTTCTCGTTCCCACCATCCAGCATTATATTATGATTTAATATAATTATTAACTAAATCGACGTATTGATCGATCCCAGTACGTCACATAACTAATTTCTAATTTGTGACGGTCATAAATAAAAGCAAGTGGAAAAAATATACTTATTTTTGCTAATTAATTAGCCATATGCTTCCGAATGGTTATTTTACGCGTCATTTCCTTCTACCATGTATAATATTTGTTTAGAATGTTCGGAATTGATTAAGTGATGGCTTTTCAAAAATTTGTTTGGATGTCCTTTTAATGAAATTCGGAGATGAAGGCGATAGCAAAAATCATTATTTTGATTTACTTGAAAATTTGCAAAAATTATATATTTTCTGGAAATCAGAATTCCGGAGATATCTTTGGATATCACGCTTGAAATGCATTCAATCATAGCCTAAAATGTTTGTTTTAATGCCATCAAGTCGCTAGTTAAAAGGTGTCTACGATAGCTATATTGGATGATTTAATTTTTATGATGATTGTCGAAAATTTCAAATTTTTCATGAATTTCCTTGAAAGTGCGCTTTCTGGTGGTTTCTTCAAATATGGTGTTTCAAATTCATTAAAGTAGGGGAGGAGGGGGGGGGGGAGGAATCGAGGTTGTTGAGGGATGTAACAATTCACTAACAAATGCGATAGTTATAAAACAATCACAGTATATTTACAAGACGTAGACTATACACAAAAAGTGAAGATAGATAATGTAAGGAGTAGACGTTCACTCCTATTTGGCGGTCGGTACCGGACTGCCTCATTGAGGTGTTTCTCAATTCGCAAGACAGCCCAATTCCGTAGATGGAATTAATCCAGAATATACGTCTGACACAATAGGAAGCGAGTGAGACAGCACGAAAGTTTCGTTCGCCTGTCAATCATCTGGAGAAATATTGGAGAAACATTGGAGAAATATTTGTGGAAAAAGGTCGTATGAGCAAAAAAAATTGTCCTCAAAAGTTGGGTCGAAATGATTCTGTAGAGCCCAAATTGTCCAGATTTTATGTTCTTTAGATCAGGTTTATACGACCTTTTTCCACATCGTGGGCCTATAAATCCCAAAATGGTTAATATGACATTTTCCATTTAGCACGCGATGTGATAAACTTTAAATTTGGTCTTTTTCCATTTATTTTGAGACCAAGTGATTTTAGAAATGACAATTGAATTCTTTATTTAATTCACCGGTCTTTATTATACACTATATGGTTTTGAATGCTTGAAAAAAAGTGTCTGAAAAATGTCCACAAAAGTTGCGTGAAATTCAGACATTTGTTTTTGCTGTGTAGCACATGAATTTTGATAGAAAATTTTTCTCTGTGTAACATTCTAAAAAAGAGCCCCAGCTTTAAACATCCTGCAAAGAGTAGTGTTCGCATTTTCAGGTATAGCCACCCTCCCAAGTTAAAGCGTATCTAAGACCCTGTTATATTCTTTAAAAAAAGGCGCATTTTCTCCAAAGAAAGGGAACGTGGGCCTTCTTCGGCCCTCAATGGTTTTATGACATTACCGGCGTACCTTCCGAGGACAAATATTAGGTAGGGCGGTGCAAACTAATGGGAGTAGAGACGATAGAGGCATTAGAGGTATTTCTCAACTGTCTGCGACTGATGCAAGATTTACACCTTTGGTAGATTGTCTGACAGTTAAACGCGCGTCTCGACGGTGGCCGGATCGTTTGCGGCTGTCTCTCCTTTCCCGGGGTATTTTCCGAGTGTTAAAAAGCAATTAGAATTTTGTGTTCATTAACTCCTATTGATATGAGTCCGCATATCACTAATTGTTCTAAGTACATAAAACTGTGAAATTATTATGTAAAGTAATTGCGTGCGACTTGAGAAACTTATATATAATTTTATATGAAAGTTACACTGAGAAAAACAAAATTTTGTTGAGAATCACGTTTTTACTCATATCGAGAAACTCGTAATTGAAAATTTTTAAGAGCAAAATATCAGTAGTGAAGTGGCACAATGGTTTAAGTCGATTTTGACTATTGGTCAGTTTTTATTGGAAATCTCGAGATTTAATGCAGATAGTGTCGAATATATGAGCAATACAATGAGCCTTCTGCTCGATACTCTTACACTGAGAGACAATCAGTTACAATACTGGATGTATCATTGAATATTACAGTCGAAATATAACTGTCATGCCAAGCAGAGGTTCTGTTGACGTTTATCCCGGAGTCTTATTATTTCGAAAATTCGGGTTTCCAAACCATAGCCTAATTCCTCAGCCTAATTATCCGATAAATTCACTGCATAAACTTCCCTTTATTCCAATAGATAGCAAAATTTATGCCATGACTTTTTTTGTAGAGCGGATTAAAACCTCCAGAAAATGTCATTACGAAAATTTCTCTATCTCCCTTGATTCGAAGGTATTCTTGGAAAATTCTGCTAAGAGCCAAGTCGACTTGAATCGCTTTACCGCTTCGCTACTGATATTTTGCAGTATGAAAAAAAAAATCCGTCAAGAAATTTTGTACTTGTCCTAATGACGAGGATAATTTCTCGATGATAAGAAAACGATTTCTCATACTAAGTAAAATTGAATTAAATCATTTAATAGTTTTTTAGCCTCAATTCTGAAATATTTTAATGCAAAGACCACTTGAATTAATTTGAGGAGTCGTTTTCTTGATATGAACCAATTGCCCTCATCTGTCCGACAAGTAAAAAATTTCTTGGCGTGATTTTTTTTTTTCTTACACTGAGGAAAAAACAGCAGAGTTCTCAAACAATTCTTACTTGTGTCAAAAAAATAGTGTTTTTTAAATTATCAAAAAAGGATTTTTTTGTGCCAAATATGCGAAGTGTGCGCCGAGATTGAAAATTTTTATTGCAAAATAGATTTAGTCGTTTCAAAAAAAAACTTGTTCTCTGTGCAAGCAGGAAATGTCATTTCTAGCACTAATTTGTTATTCGATGCGCCCGCGCGTATTTTGCTCCCGGCAAATGCTCGTTTTGTATCAAACGAGGGATAGTAGCTTGTCGTTTCGGCTATTCAATAATCACAGACTAAAAATGAGTTCTTAAATGAAATAATAATAACGATATGACAGCAATCTTGTAACTTAGGGATAAAATATTTGTTGATAAACTTTCCTCTATGAAAGATATTTTTATCCTGAAAAGGGATTGTCCTTGAGCGAAATATTTCGTTATGGAAAAAAAATATACTGAAATTGAATATATTTTAAACTAGAATCAACTATATGCATAAACCTGATTCAAGAATAAAATATACTTGATTCAAGTATATTATTCTTGATTCGAGGAGTATAAAATATACTTGATTCAAGTATATTTTATACTCAATTCAGGTATATCTTTTTTTGTGCCGGTATTGTTGAAAGTAGAGCACTTATTCATGTTCAAAACTATCAAATTCGAACCAAACAATTGTTTTTTGGTAATTTTCAACTAACGATTTTTCTGGCCCAAACAAGACTTGTTTGAGAACTTCTTCGCTTTTCTCTCAGTGTACCGGTGTGGGAAATTTTACTATACAAAAGATGCGTTTTTTTCGAACGAATCGTAGGATATTCTCCAAAAAAAATTTTTCATTGAATTGGCATTTCACTACACAATTACCTCTTCGTATAATAAAATTTGCCCGAATTTATAGATGATTTTCATCCAACTTTTATCTCCGTGTAACTTCATTTTTTTAACAGTTCAATTGATTCTTCGCAGCGAAGGGAATTATTTTTCATCTGATGTTGACGCAAATCTGATGTTGAAGCGAAATTAATTATTGCAATTAAAGAATTGTAGAATCATTGAATTACTCAGAATAAGTGGAATGTTTTTGCTTATCTTGAGGTGCTCATGCCTATCGTCTGAGCGTTCAAGTTCCCATCAAAAGTGCTGACCCTTGCGGGATGAAGTGGAAGGGAAAAAAGAAGACAAAGTGTGCTGAGTAAATTCGTAGTATGAGTTCTGCGGATAACAACCATCACCGGAAACCGTTGGGGGGATTACCAGAATAAACAAATACGAATAATATAGACGTATTTACCTGGCATCGGTTAATCTCTGGGTCACGGTTATCAGTAGTAATGCCCCAACAGCTTCAAAATTATCGGGTATTTCCCGATAGCTTCGTTGCAAACAAATGAGGGTGTCAAGTTTTCAAGGTTAAAAAATTCCGAGCGCTTGCACGAGGAATTTTTTTGCAAAACTTGGCTACGATCGTTTGTTTCCAGGGGAGCACGTATGAAAAAATTCAATAGAAAACGTAGCAAATTTGCTATAAAATTCTATGGGAATTGCATAGGAATTCTACGGGGTCTCTATAGGATTGCTATTGGAATTCTATTGAAGAATTTTATTTGGTTTTTGCGCTGATTCTATTGGATATTTGATAAGAACAAGTCAATAGATTTCGAATTTCTATTTGAATGTTTCTCTTGCGATTTCTTCTATAAAAATGCTGGGGCATAAATTTTTCAATTTTTTCCACTGGTATTCTGTAATGCAAAACAAAACGAAATCCAGCGGAGAAAACATAAAATTTGTGCTCAATAATTCTAATGGAAAAAATCTCAACAGAAAAATTCGATCAGAAATTCAAAATATATTGACTTTTACCTATCAAATATGCAATAGAATCAGCACAAGAACAAGTACAATTTTTCAATAGAATTCCAATAGGATTTTCTAGCGAATTCGCTAGGTTTTCTGCTGAATTTTTTCATGTGTGAGCTTGAGGGAAATACCAGATTAATTTTGAAGCTTGAGGGGTATTTGTCGGATTATTTTCCCCAATCGGATTTCGACCAATCAGAGCGCAGTATTTGAGGCTACCCGACAGTTTTATTTCGGGAATTTTCCTCATCCAAATGTCAGCCAATAGAATTGCACTATTCGACTATTATTTCATATAGTCAACACGGTATTCAGCTGATAATTTTTAATAATTCAACTGGTAATTTTTCATGTTGACTACATTTGTGGAAAACAAAAGATTCCGTGGTCGAGTGAACCCCTGATTGGAACTGTCAGATGGATTTTGTCTCCCTGGTGGAAAAAACTCCTTAAATCCTATTGGAAGAAAAAAGCGTAATTATTTCCAATTACCCTTTGTCAGCATTGCGCTACTAACCTGAATCGGAAATATATTTCCGATTCAGGTTAGTAGCGCAATGCTGACACGTATGGAAAAATCCAATAGGAAAACCTAGCGAATTAGCTAGAAAATTCTATTGGGATTCTGGAAAAAGAAATTCAAAATCTATTGACTTTTCCGTATGAAATATGCAATAGAATCAACGCAAAAAACTAATAGAATTTTCCAATAGAATTTCAATAGAAATCCCATAGAAATCCGATAGATTTTCTCCAGAATCCCAATAGAATTTTCTAGAGAATTCGCTAGGTTTTCCTATTGGATTTTTCCATACGTGTCAGCATTGTGCTACTAACCTGAATCGGAAATAATGGGTCAACGGCAATAACGTCATTATTTCCAATTACCCTTTTTTCTTCCAATAGAATTTAAGGAGTTTTTTCCACCAGGGCTCATAGGGCAATTCTTTTGGTCGACATTTGGATGGAAAAATTCCCTCCCGAATACTACTCGAGCTTCAAAATTAATCGAGTAATTCCCTCAAAGTTCCCTGCACACAAACGAGGCCGTCAGGTTTTTCAGGAAAAATCACTCGTGCTTCGCACTCGTGATTGTTTAACTTGAAAAACTTGACTCCTTCGTTTGTTTGCAACGAACCTATCGGGAATTGCTCGATAATTTTGAAGCTCTCGTGGTATTACTTGTGGATATTTCCTCCTAGCTGTTGAATATTTCGCAGTAGTTCTTCATTTTTTCGGCTCATTTCAGATAGAATCTTATATTTGATAGTCCATGGAAATCGGGTTATATTCTCGCGCAAGCGCTTGGGATTTTGTAACCTGCAAAAATTGACACCCTCATTTATTTGCAACGAAGCTATCGGGAAATACCCGATAATTTTGAAGCCCTTGGGGTATTACTACTGATTATTCTTTCCAATAGGATTTTGGCCAATCAGAGTGCAGTGGATACCATCAGGAAGTGATTAGGGAAGATTTGAACAAATTATGTTAATGGAATAACCCGATTTCCAATACAAGATTCGATTTGAAATGAGCCGAAAAAATGAAGGACTACTGCGAAATATTCAAAAGCTAGGAGGAAATATTCGAAATAAAACTGTTGGGTAGCCGCAAATACTGCGCTCCGATTGGTCGAAAGCCGATTGGGAAAAACAATCAAGCTCCTTTCGTTTATGTATCGTGGTGATGTGATGAAATCATGAAAAAAGAACATTGAAAATTGGATGAGGAGAATAAAAAATTGAATAATGGAAAACGCATCGGAGAATGTCGCCTGTAGATTCTGGTTCAATTCACGTTTATTTGTTATTGATGGTCAACCCCTGAAGTTTTACCTCCTTGGATATAATCCATTGGAATGCCGGGATATCGCTAAAATCATCGAAGTAAGTCTCTATATTATAAAAATTCAAATCGATTTTTGATGATCAAAATTTTGTACTCGAAATTAAGACTGCATAATTATGGGTCACAAGGGTCAAAATAAGGGTTTCGAGGGTCCAAATAAAGGTCACGAGGTTCAGAATCAGAGTCATGAGGGTCAGATTAAGGGTCTAAATAAGGGCCATGAGGATCAGATTAAGGGTCACAGGAGTCAGATTGAGGGTTATGAAGGTCAGGATAAGGATCATATGGGTCAGATTAAGGGTCACGGGGCTCAGATTAATGGTTGCAAGGGTCAGAATGAGGATTATGGGGCTCATATGGGAATCATACCGGAGTCATGTGGGTCATATGGCGGGGTTTTACCTGCTTGGATATAATCCATTGGAATGCCGGGATATCGCCAGAATCATCGAAGTAAATATCTATATTATAAAAATTCAAATGGATTTTTAGTGATCAAAATTTTGTACTCGAAATTAAGACTGCACAATTATGGGTCACAAGGGTCAAAATAAGGGTCTCGAGGGTCCAAATAAAGGTCACGAGGTTCAGAATCAGGGTCATGAGGGTCAGATTGAGGGTCTAAATAAGGGTCATAAGGATCAGATTAAGGGCCACAGGGGTCAGATGAAGGGTCATGAGGATCCAAGTAGTCTGATCAGATAAGACGTCACAGGGGTCAGATTAAGAGTTATGAAGGTCAGAATAAGAGTCAGATAGGTCAGAGTAAGTGTCACGAGGGTCAGGTTAAGGTTCATATGGGTCAGATTAAGGGTCACGGGGCTCAGATTAAGGGTCGCAAGGGTCAGAATGAGGATTATGGGGCTCATATGGGAATCATACCGGAGTCATGTGGTCATATGGGGGTTGGGAAGCGGAGCGAGCAGGTGACGTAGCCCGCTATTATCATGATAAATATAATTTTCATCGTGGTGTACGCAAAATAATGTTTTGAATGATGAAGCGATTGTCAAAAACATTCATTCAACTATTTTCCATTATTTCGACAATTGTAAGCGTTGCGTCAATCGACCGCGTGCGCAAAATGTCACTTCACTGACAGAAAGACAAACACGTTCTCAAACAAGTCTTGTTTGGGCCAACAAAATCGCTAGTTGAAAATTATCTCGCTTAATTATTTCCAACCGCTTCAAATATCATAATAACACCACCTTCCTAGGACCGAGCTAAATACACTCATCAGGGCAATTTTATTTCATAAAATCATCTGTGACAACAATATACGAGTTCATTTCAATTTAACCACTGTTATAACTATTAAATTCAATTTATCGACCAAAACCAAAAAAGAAGAAAAATACAATAAAATAAGAAATCAAATATAAAATTTTTCCATCTTACCTAACTCTTCTTATTGAACATTGTAATGTCAAATTTTTACTCTATTTTTTAGCACTCGAAACGTTGGCAAAGGATTCAGAATAAATTGGTAGTGTTGTGTATATCATGACCGCATAGTGGCCCTAGAAAGGTGGTGTTTCTAGTTGAAAATTCATAAACAAGTGGTTCACGCACGAAAAAAGTTAATAGAAAAACCTATCGAATTCGTTAGAAAATTCTATTAAACTTTCTATTAGTTTTTGGCTGATTCTATTGACATGTTCAATAGGAAACATTCAATAGAAAAAGTCAACAGAATTCGATTTTTCTATATAACTTATTCTTTTCACATATTTTCTATAGAATTTGCTCGACTCAAATTTTCTAAGTTGTTTTCATTCTATTTTTTTTTCTTCTCCTCATGAAAATCAAACGAAAAAACTTAGAAAATTTGAGCCGCGGAAATTCTATAGAAAATATCTCAATAGAATAAGTTATACAGAAAAATTGAATTCTAATGACTTTTTCTACTGAATATTTCTATTGAACATTTTAATAGAATCGGCCAAAAACTAATAGAACAGTTCAATAGAAATTCAATAGAATTTTCTAACGAATTCGATAGGTTTTTCTATTAATTTTTTTCATCCGTGTTTGGTTCGAATTTGAAAGTCTCAAACGTGAATAATTGCTCTGCTTTCGACAACGAAATATTTTGCTCAAGAGGTAGATAATTAACACGAGACGGTGCCTATTCCTTACGATTCTTTGAATTTCTTTAAAATCCTTTGAATTGCCTTGGAATCCCTTGCAGTACTAAAAAGACTTCAGAAATCTTTGAAATTTTGAAATCTTGAAATCCAGTGTCCACTTTTTCGGAGTGATTACCCCCTCGGGGGAACATCAATTTTCACTGGGAGAATGGGAGATTTTTTTTGCACGTAACGTTTGTAATGTGTATCAATCATTCTCATTAACCTTTGTGCAGGCTTATGGAGGGAAGCTATCTGCGCCTCATGGAGAAACCATTGTGTTTTCGGAGCCGCATCGTGTCACTGATTATGACTACGATTTATACCACATAAAATGTCTCTATGACAGTATAATGACGAATCAGTTGCAAGATATCAATCATTACAGGTAATTAATTTTTTCACGAAATTAGTATGAATGCACAGCAAAAACTAATGTCTGAATGTCACACACCTTTTGTAGACCTTTTTCAGGCATTAAAAAACTTCTAGATAAAATGAATATTTGTCTGAATTTCAGATGAACAGGTGCCTAAACATCTTAATTCATGTTTGAAATTTAGACAAATTTTCATTCTATTCAGAGGTTTTATAGTGTCTGAAAAATGTCTACAAAAAGTGCGTGAAATTCAGACATTCGTTTTCATAATTCTTTCGGTAAGGTGCACGGAAATTTCCTGTGAAAATTTCACAGAAATTTTCCCAGAAATACCAAGAAATTTTACCTTAACAGCACTAGAATTTTTCGCAGCCGGTGGATTGTAATTTTTTCCAGTACTCGTACTAGAATTATTCTAGAAAATTTATCTCCGTGTGAAGCGCAAGCAAAGTAGGAGCTTCACGTGCAAAGATCATGCAGAAGGCACTTTTCAGTGAAAATTTAGGGTTTCATGGGATTTCAGTTGTCTTTGTGAATTCGAATTTTCCCATAATTTCTCTTTTGTTAAATTTTCTGGGTTATTAATGCACAGAAAATGAAGTTTTTTCGGCTGCGAGAGGCCTTACTTCTACTAAAGACTCCTAGCCTTACAGGATCTTAAATCGAAATCTTCAAGTGAATTTGAGAATATTTACTGTTGACAATTTCCTCAATTCTGATTTTGACCAATCAGAGTGCAGTATTCGGAGTTACGTGACGCGTTTCATACTGATAATTTCCCCGACTGCAGGGAAATTATCAGACTGTTAATCCCTTGCGCTACGCGCTCGGGATTTTAATCTGCAAGACTGATCCCTCTCGTTGCTATGCAACAAAACATTCGGGAAATATCCGATAATTTTGAAGGTCTTGGGGGATTATAGCTGAAAAACACTCTCAAAGATCAATCAATGCCAATGTCTATTTCAGATTGATTTCGCCATCCCAACCACTGACTCCAGTCACTCCATCATCCTCCGAAACACACGACGACAGGACCTCAGACATCAGTGATCCCATCCCCTTAAAATGCAAAGAGGAACGCACAGACAGCGAATTCGACTGGAATATCCGCGAGTGCTGCGTAAAAATTCACGATTTTCTAGAACACACGAAAGACATTAAATTCTTTCAACCAAAACCGGAGACCTCAACACGCGACAAAGATGAAAGCACATCGTGCAATTTCAACAGGTCACGGGAAGCCAAAAAACGATTGAAAAACTTAGAACTCATTGAAAAATTAACAAATGATCGCGTTCAATCAACAGAACGTACCGAAGTGAAGTCACGCTGCTCTTCAACTAGAGCAAGGGTATTTCCACCTGAAAATGCATCTCCGGAATGTTCACAGAACATTTCAGCAGAAGAAAGCCTGAATAACACGATAACATCTGCAACGAACCGCGGGGTCATTGACGTGAGTGAAAAATTGAAAGAAGTTACATCGAGAAGAAGAAATGTGCAGCAACACAGTTATGAAGAGTTCCCTACGGACATCAGCAGCAGCGAAGAGATGACGGACTCCAGACGTAGTAATAATCGGAAGAGGAAAAAGGTTTCTTCTCTAAAACGCTACCTGAGGCCCATAAATTCACAGGGGGAAACCTCTTCACCAGTGAAACGTTCGAGACGTTTTCGGTGAATATTACCGCGATTTCCTTTACTCTAATCTTTTCGATAACCGATTATACACTGTTAAAAATTTTGGTCTGAATTTTCCATGTCGAATCCTACAAATTTTTATCGTGTTTAATTTTCACTGAAATTTCAGAAAATATTGACACTGAAAAATCCAATCTTCCATCAATTGTCGGTTCAAATCATCTCAAACTCAGTAAAATACTTCATTTTTCAGTTAAATTATTCCGTGGAAATTCGGAAAAATCACGAAAATTCAGTGAAAATTTGAAAATTCATGAAATTTTATTTATGAATATTTATGTTCCATTGAAAATTCAATGAAGTTGTGAAATTTCCATCTCACTTTCACTGAAAACTCATGAATTTCTTTGAATTTCAAATTTCATAACCTTTTTTCCCCTAAATCCGATTCAACGTCACTCTCATGAGAATTACCATCATATTTTTCATGAAATTTCAAAAAATTTCTAACAGTGTATATTTTTCAGTTTTTTATGGTCCCTTATTGCGACTGTTTGATACATTATTACATGTAAAAAAATATCATGGGAAAACCTAGCATTTTGATAGAAGATCTAGCAAACGATTCACCCAGAGACATGGTTCATTTGAACTAAATTAACTTTATTAGAATCAAATAAATGATTTATTCAATTTAAATAAAGTTTATTTAAGAGAAGATTACTATGAGTTCTAAAAATCGCGGACGATTAGAGTGAGATTTTTCATACATTGAAAATCGATTATATATGTCTAAAAACGAATAATTAGTGCAAAAAATAAATTGTTTATTGTTAGTTTGCTCTGCACATGCTTAAAATATTAAAAATAGTCCAGGGCCTCAAATTTTTGATCTACACGGAGAGAAATATTCAAGAAAAATTACGGAACATTTCACGTAATCCGCAAGCGAGAATCGTTTTCAGTGAATTTCTATAGGAATATAAGAGAATAAATCTGAAACGTTCAGTAAATTTTCGGGTCTGTCACCGAAAAAATACGAAAAAGTCACGTAATTTTTCTGGAAGTTGTAAAATCTAACAGAAACTTCAAGACTTATTATGCCTCAGAACATGAAAATTCTTGGATGTTTAAGAATTTTTACGAAAAGTTCCGGAAAAATTACGGAACGTGTTGTTAATATCTTCCCCTCACGGTGACTCATGGCTAGCCATGAGGCGTCGGACGAATGAGTAATTTTTACGGAACAGATCGTAGAATTTACGTGACGATTGACACTTTTTATTGAATTTTACTTGGCTCCCAGATTACGTGTCGAAACGTAATTTTTACGTCTTTTTTCTGGTAATTTTTATTGAATATTTCTCTCCGTGTACACTGAGGGAAAAACAACAGAGTTCTCAAACAAGTTTTACTTAGGCAAGAAAATAGTTTTTTGAAAATTATCAAAAAATAATTTTTTTGTGCCAAACATGCAGAGAGTGCGCCGGAATGAAAAATGGTCGTCACACAAATAAATTTAGTAGTTTAAAAAAAATTGCATTCTCTGTACACGCAAGAAATGCCATTCCTAGCACTACTCCTTCGTTATTCGATACTCTCATACGTATTTTGCTCCCGAAAAATCTTTGTTTTATGCGAAACAAGGGATAGTAGTTTTTCGTTTCGACTGTCTAATAATCACAGACAAGAAATGAACCCTTAAATGAAACAATAACAATGATATAATAGTATTCTTGTAGCTTAGGGATAAAATATTTGTTGATAAATTTTCCTCAATATGAGATACTTTCATCCTGAAAAGGCACCGTCTGGTGTGAATTATCCGCCTCTTGAGCCAAATATTTCGTTGCCGTCGAAAGCAGAACAATCATTCATGTTTGAGACTTTAAAATTCGAACCAAACAAATTCTTTTTGGCAATTTTCAACTAGCGATTTTGTTGGCCCAAACAAGACTTGTTTGACAGAGTATTTGTTTTTCTCTCAGTGGACGATTACATGATTTGTTCAGTAATTTTTCTCCAACTATTTTCTTTGTGCATTTGATAATATTATGAAGAATAGATACATCTAATAAATAAATAACTGTTTATTAAAAATTTTGGGGTAAAACGAGATACAAAAGGAATGACGCGTCGGCGGACTAGAAACGAAGATAAAAGAATATCGAGAAAGAAAGAGACGATCGTACCTGAAGTTGGTTGAGAGGGAGGAAAAGGGCAAATACCCAACAATATAAATTAGGGGAGAATGGGGCGAAATGGAATAGCCCTGGAAACGTCTTGGTCAATCCTGGACAACAAAATGAGCTGATGTTTTATTTTGCCACATTCGCCTCCGACTCGTGTAATAAATTGAAAAATATTGTTATTTTCATTACATTGATGGCCCTGATTTTATTTTCCTCTTTTCAGTGGCAAACTTTTCACAGAAGAAGAGGACCGGCAAATAATCCAATTTCTCATCGACAATAATGCTATTTCTAAAGCTACTGGTGTGGAAATTTGGAAGCATGTCAAAGCAGCGGTATTTGACTTTTATCAGTTGCAATTTTATCTGTCTGTTATAAAAACGACTTTAAGGGAAGAATATTATAAGTTTTAAACGTCGCGGGCTACTGGAGTGAGATTCATCATACATTGAAAATCGATTATATATGTCTAAAAATGAATAATTAGTGCAAAAAAATTAATTATTTATTGTGCGTTTATCCCGTAAACGCTTAAAATGTTGAAAATAGTCCAGGGCGTCCAATTTTTGAGCTACAGAGGTTTTTTTTTCTCAAAATTTTGGAAAAAATGTGTCCAATAACAATTACGAATTAGCTTTTTGAAATGCAATTCCTACCCAGCTAATTTCGTTATTATTTTAATAAAAAATTGCACCATTCATGTAAAATAGCCCAAAAAATATTTCTGAAAGAAACGAGAATTTATTTTTACCGTTTAATAAAATCATATTTTTCGCCAATCTATTCGATAACTGACGGATTGAGTAGCGAAGGGGTAAAATGGCTCAAGTCGACATATTCCTTAGCTGAGTTTTCGGGGAATATCTCGGAATCTAAGAGAGATAACCAAATGTTTGTATAGTCCTTGTTTAAAATGCAGCAAATAATTCATCATTAAAAGTTATCGGTCTCAACGGAAAATCTCGGGTGATGTCGGACCCTTCGAGTGAATCTGCCCCCACCGAAATTCAAGGCGGCAATTTTTTCACATATTCAGCACCCAAAAAAAATTCTGTGTAAAATTTCAGATCATTATATCGATCTCCTGATTTTTTATGCTCAAAAAACTTCTTCGATTTTATTTTTTTTCTAGTACTTCAAAGCTACTTAAAAATCTGAAAAAATTCTGAAAAATCAAAAACATCAAAATTGAAGGGAGAAATCTTTAATTGATTTTTAATTGTTAAATAATATTTTTGATCGACACTTCTCTCTTTTAAAAAATCATTCTCATAGGTAAAGATTTTTCTACCACTTTGACAAAAATTGACGAGATTCTCGCCGCAATTCCCCACATTTTGAGAAAAAAAAAGTTCGAAAATTCCACCTGCAACACATTAAAAAAAAATGTCAAATTTTTGCATTTTTTCGTGGAAATCCTTCCGTTAATCATCCCGACAGGTCTGTTAATTGATCACTATATTCAATCTAGTATTGTGGCACATTATACTTTTGAAGGAGAGCAACTGTTGGGCAAAATCGCTAGTAGTAAAGCAATAAAACGATTTGAGTTGACTGAGTTCTTTGCTGAGTTTCCAGGCAATATCTCCGAATCTACGAGAAATAGCAAAATTTTTGTAATGATCTTTTTTGTAGGTTTTGATTCGCTCCACAAGAAAGATCATGAGGAAAAAATTGGTATCTGTCTTACATTCCGAGATATTCATTGAAAACTAACCAATACTAAAATTGGCTTGAATCGTTTTGCTGCTACACTACTGAAGTGAGGTGTATCTCAATTCGCAGAGCAGTCGAATTCTGTAAATCCTATTCTAAAAAGAAGATACACTTAAAATAGCTCTACCCTTACGGTAAATTCAAAGATTATTGAGAACTGCAAAAAAAATGCGGAAAACTCGATTAAATTCGGGATTTTAATTTTTTTCTCAATTTAATTATCGTGTTGGTTTTTCAAAGCATACATGTTTAAAAATCAGGATTTAACCCAGTGTCTTATGTGAAAATCAACATTCCCATTGTAATTAAAGATTAAAATCTGAATTCGTTTTCATTAGATGTGAAAAAATCAAGAATTTTTTCGACATCTCATAAAAAATAATCCACCGTTTTGCAAACAAGTTTTATGATTTATTTATAAGAGGGAAATGTTTGAAAAAATATCAATATTTTGCGAAATTTAATTTAGATAATACTGACTGGGTCGGAATTTTTTTTCACCTTTTTCCATGCAATTTAGTTTAAAACTTTTAAAACTGAAAATATCCAAAAGTATAGCGTAGCCCGGCCGAAGGGAAGTGCTACTTTAAAGTCGATAACTATCGATATCTCGCAAGCCTGTCACGCTTATTCCTCATTGGTTCCAGTCGTCTAAGGCGGCAAATTTAATTCATGATCAATTAAATTTTGAGATTTTCAATTATGATTGCTACAATTACAGCGCGCTGTAGCGGGCGTTCGGTCTCGTTCAGTCGTCGCAGTCGCGTTCAGATCGCGGTTTCGTTCAGTCGTCGATCATCTTTTCCTCGGTGACCGTGATCAACGCGTGAGTATGCACGTGCGAATGTAGCAGCCACTACAATGACACTAATGTTGCTATACCCCTTAGATTCCGAGATATTCGATGAAAACTAGCCAATAGTCAAAATCGACTTGAACCGTTTTATCGCTTCGCAACTGAATTACTATTAAATTTTAGATGCCGCATTCCACTCGTACTGAAACGAATATTCGGTGTCGGTACATGAGCAATCTTCGTTATAATTACGCAAAATACACTGATGATCCCGCGATATCGGCAGAATTTGCAGCAAATGTGAAGAGTAAACGGAAGGGGTAAGGAAATTCTAATTATCTTCGTTTGTAATCTCACCGACAACTCGTCATCATCTTCACCGCAAGAACTGCAATATATACTATTTCTACATGATTGATTTTTTGTTTCAGCCAGTTTTCTTGGCCTGATTGGGAAATAAAAAATGTTGTCGATTATCTAGTTAAATCTGGTGTATTTTCGCGGCCATTCGGCAAAACGATTTGGAAAGAAGTTGTCGAAAAAAAGGTAAATAATTTTGAAATAAGTGAAACTCGAATAAAATTGTAATTCCATGAGAATCAAAAGCAGAATTCGCTCGAAAAAATTTGGACATTTCCATCATGGATACATTGGAAGTTGAGTTTTCGAAACATTTTTTCTAATTAGAAAAAAATTAATGGAATATGAAAGTAAAAGAACCTATGAAATATTAGATTTTCTTTTTTCTTCTAGAAAGATAATGAGAAATTGAAGACCTTAATTGTTATTTTCCGTTTTTATCATTTTCGTCTGTTTTTTCTTCATTAAGTTCATTGATAGTGATCATCTGGATGAATATTGATGAATTTTGATTAGGGTGAATCGTCCAGTGTTCGAACGAATAAGGTCACAGTCATTTTTGACGTAGATTTAAAAATATAATCAAGTCGAAAATTGATTTAAAAATAATTATAACTCCCCTATACATCTCCATAGATGATGGAAAAACATATTATGGAAATTAATTGATGATACAATTAATGATATGAATACAAAAAGCTGAAAATGTGTGAAAACCCAGTAATCGAAATGCGTATTCTGTAATGGGAATATGCTATTGGCGGCGTGTCATCGAAAACTTTTTTTTCCGCTGGTAATAAGGTAACTTAGACATTTTCAATCATCACAATATCATTTGGAAATGTCATAATTTTATTTTTCATGTATAATGTGAGGCATCTCTACCTTCTACCAATTTATTTTATAGAAAAAGTACCAATTAGTTCGATTACTGGTCTGGTTCGAACACTGGTTGGTTCACCCTAGTCGCCGATCAAAGCAGACGTGCAATTGCTAGACCAAGACAAATCAATATTACTTTATGGATCAAAATCCCTCACTCTAGCCTGATTTGAATTTCTCCTAAGATACTCATAACTTGTTGTTCGTTATTATTGAAAGAAAAAATACCCTATGTCATATTTATTCTATTTTCATTTGCAAGAGCAAAGTATCCTCTATTAAGAAATAGGTGAAACATTTTTGGTCAGTAATCTTTTTCGCCAAGTATATACTAAACTTAGGAATAATTCAGTAGCGAAGCGGTAAACCGGGAAAAGTCGGTTTTGACTATTGACCTGTTTTTGCCGAATATCTCGGAATCTAAGAGAAATAGAAAAATTTTTGTCATGACCTTTTTTGTAGAGCCAATTGAGGGTTATAAAAAAGGTTATGATAAAAATTTTGCTATCTCTCTTAGATTTCGAGATATTCATCAAAATTTGGCCGAAAGTCAAAATCGACTTGACCCCGTTTCGTTACTGAATTCAAGTTTATCTTAGCTTATGAATGAAAAAGACTTATTTATGTATAAAATCCATAAAATAATAAAACATCATGTATATTTAATATTTAATATATAAATTATAATGTATTATTAATAATATTATCATTATTTCATACATTTTATGCATAGATAAGAAATAGATTGCTGACCAAAAATGCTTCACCTATTTTTTAATAGGGGATTGACATGAAAATTGGTTGACATTCCTTCGCCCAAACTTCGCCTTCGCCAGAGCTGTAAACAAACAATGAAAACGAATATTAACTCATTTTTTAATGAGTAAATAAATATATAACGATTACAAATAATATGCATAAACCACTAGCCAATTCATGTATTGCAAAGCGTGCAAATCGCCCTCCCTGTCCTAGTTTAAGAAGAAATAATGCAATTCAAGAGAAAACATACGCGTTGTCAACAGAGTCTTGTCCAAAATAATTTCCCCAGATTTTCGTGTGACTGTTTTAAGCCACGGACGAAAAAATTTATTAGAAAAACCCATCGAATTCGTTAGAAAATTCTATTGAATTTCATTAGAAATTCAACTGTTCTATTAGTTTTTGGCCGATTTGATTAAATGTCAAATAGAAAATATTCAGTAGAAAAGTCAATAGAATTCAATTTTTCTATATAACTTATTCTATGGAGATATTTTCTATAGAATTTCCACGGTTCAAATTTTCTAAGTTTTTCGTTTGATTTTCTTGATGAGAAGAAAAGAAAAGTAGAATGAAAAAAAATTAGAAAATTTGAGTCGAGCAAATTCTATAGAAAATATATGAAAAGAATAAGTTATGTAGAAAAATCGAATTCTGTTGACTTTTTCTATTGAATGTTTTCTATTGAATATGTCAATAGAATCAGCCAAAAACCAATAGAAAGTTTAATTAAAATTCAATAGAATTTTCTAACTAATTCGATAGGTTTTTCTATTAATTTTTTTTGTGCGTGGCATATTTGATTAAAAATAATGTATTAAACAAAGGGGAGGGTCGGGCAAAATGGGACGTTGAGATTGAGATCTTTTCCAATTATCAATATCTTCGTTTATAAGTGAAGATATTGACAATCAGAGAAGATCACGAAACGTCCCATTTTGCCCGACTCCTCTAAATGTAATGTAATGTATTAAAACAATATATGTAATGTATGTATTTTTCAGATTATAGAGAAGTCAGTGTCATCGTGGAGAAGTTTACGGCGTACTTTTTTTCGACATATTCTGCCTGTTATAGATAGATATGTCAATGATCCAGGAACTATCGAGGAATTTCGGGTTCTACGATTGAGAAGTTCGAATCATTTGGGAAGTATATGATTTCCATCCAGGATCGTTCACCAGCTGATGTCAATGATTTCTAATTTGTCGAGAGATTTTAAAATAACGATACGTATCTTTTTAAGAAGTGAAAATAATTTTATGGACTGAAAATATTCATTCATCAACGAAAACAACCTGTAAATCTGATGAAATTATGTTTTTACTCGTTAAAGAATAATTATAGTTTATTTCCTCAAAGTTTTTTGAACAGTTTCATATATTTTGCGTATTTTTCCCCCTTTCTCCAAAATGCGATATAACTCTAACATAACAATATTTAATAATAACAATATTCAAGATTTAGGGGAGATCCGGGCAAAATGGGAAGTTTTGTGGTCTTCTCTAATTATCAATATCTTTATTTATAAGTGAAGATATTGACAATTAGAGAAGACCACTTCCCATTTTGCCCGGATCTCCCCTAAATCTTGAATATTGTTATTATGAAGATATTGACAATTGGAAAAGATCTCAATATGTCCCATTTTGCCCGACCCTGCCCTAGAAATGTTTTTATTATTTTACAGTGATAATATACTAGAACTGTCGAGAGCCTGAGGAAACTTGAATTACAAACGAATTCTTACTAATTCATTAACAACAATATCTATATTCATTAAAAATAACCGATAAATTTGGAATCAGCTTGCAATTATTTAAATCAATCATTCAACTGTTTTTCGATTATTTTGACAATTGCAAGCGTGGCGTCAGGCCTGCGTTGTGTTAATTATGGAATCGGAGATGCGAATGGCCGTCAATCAGTGACAGTTCCAAAAGTGACTCTCTCTAATTTTATAATCTCTACAATCGACTTCCACTATTAATGAAGAATCGTAATTAAAAAGAATAACCACCAATTTTCTTCGACATTATCTTCCTCCTAATAAACGACGTTTATTAGGACTTAAACATGCATGAAAAAATCGTATAGAAATTTTACAGGATTTTCGGAAATTTTATACGGATATTTTTTATACAAATTATTTCTATACGATTTCCATAGGGTTGATCCTATACAACCGACTGCCGCATCTATAGAAACATTTCGTGTGGAGTTGCGACATTTCTCTACGTTTTTCTCTGGAGCGTTTAGACATCTTTCGTATGAAAACAGAAATTTATGTAAAAATTTATATATGAGGTATTCCATGCCAAATGAGTCAACGGCCAACCCTCACCCTCTTGAAAATTGATGGCGATTTTTTCTACGATCAGGGAGCTTGATAAACTATCTCTAAAATTTTTCATTTTTTTTTGACAGCCCAGTTCGGAAATATGATTTTTTTCAAATTGTTCCGTTTTTTTTTACAATAACTCGAGTTCTACTCATCCGATTTCGATTTATTAGGGGGCAAAACTTTTCATTTTTCACCACCTATAAGAATGTTTTTTTTTATTTTTTACAATCTTTAGATGCTCGAAATCACGAATTCTCGAAAAAAAAAGTTGAAAAACTTGAATTTTGCCAATTACGTCACGGCCGAGTATTTTAATTTTCTTTCAGTAATTCTTATAATGAAAACAAAAATTTTGAGCCGTCATACATACATGTTGGGTGCCATCCAGGATCTATTTAAAAAAAAAAATTTTCTTCTTAAAAATGCGAAAATTTAGCGAAAGCACCTTAAAACGACTTTAATTATCTATCGAAAAAATATGTAATATATAGTAATATATGTAATATATATTCAAATTTACTTCATACTGTTTATAATCAAAGTCAACCAATGACATTTTGGGGTATTTTGACCGAATTCGCGGAATTTTGAGAATAAAGAATTGAAAATAAAATAGATCTAAGACGAAATTCAATATGTATGATGGCTCCAAATTCTTGTTTTGATTATAGGAATTACTGAAAAAAAATTAAAATAATCAACCGTGACGTAATTAGCCAAATTCAAGTTTTTCAACTTTTTTTTTTTTCGAAAATTCGTTATTTCGAGCATCTAGAGATTGGAAAAAATTTGGACAAAAACATTCTTATAGGTGGTGAAAAATGGAAAATTTTGATCCCTAATAAATCGAAATCGGATGAGTAGAACTCGAGTTATTGTAAAAAAACGAACAATTTGAAAAAAAAATATCTCTGAACTGGGCTGTCAAAGAAATCTTAAAAAATTTGAGAGATAGTTTTTCAAGCCCCCCAATCGTAGAAAAAATCGCCATCAATTTTCAAGAGGGTGAGGGTCAGCCGTTGACTCATTTGTGATGGAATACTTCATATAGAAGTAATTCGTATAGAAAATATTCGTATAGAAATATCCGAATATCATATACGGAAATCCTATAGAATTTCTATACGCAATCCATACAGAAAATTTACGGACTCCGAAATTGATACAGGATCAGGTAAAGCGTATGAACTATGTGACTGTACTTTGATTACATTAATAACAATTCATTGTATTCAGTCACCAACAGTTCAAATTCAAAAAGATTGATGAAGTAATCGCAAGAGGTGCTAGTGGCATTTTCTCACCCCCCCCCTTACACAGAACGCATTGTGTTTACTGTTGTGTTGAGCAAACGTTTTGTGAGGTTATCTCTCGAATTGTTACTCAATCGTGTGGTTTTTCAATAAATAAATAAGAGGATAATTAAATCAACTAAAAATGTCGTTAGCTGACGAATTGTTAGCGGATTTGGAGGAGAATGATGATGCCGACGATTTCATGGACGAGCCAGAGGCGGATTTTATTCCGCCGAGTATTGTTCAGCCTATGGAAGAAGGTTAGATTCTCAGCAATTTTGTTACTTATATATTTATTTATTAAATTATTAAATAGTTATTTATGAATATTGATCACTATTCATAAATAACTCATTCATTGAAAACATGAAGTGACTAAAGAATTAATGGCCGAAATATTTTTTTGATTATTTTTATGCTAATGAACGTTTATTTTCAATACGACAGTAATAAATGTTCATGTTTATCGTAAGCAAACATCGAATTTGGTAAGAAAAACAATAATAGAAATCCACGGACTGAGAGTGTTTAGACTGTTGCCTATCACGGGCGAAAAAATTTAATAGAAAAACCTATCGAATTCGTCGGAAAATTCTATTGAATTTCTATTGAACTGTTCTATTAGTTTTTGGCCGATTCTATTGAAATCAGTAGCAAAGCGGTAAACCGGGTCAAGTCGACTTAGCTCTTCGCTGAGTTTTCGAGGAATATCTCCGAATCTAAGAGAAATAGCGAAATTTTCATCACAACATTTTTTCTAGAGCGAATTGAGAGCTACAAAAAAAGGTTATTACAAAAAAATCTCTCTTAGATTCCGAGGTATCCATCAAAAAATGGCCAAAAGTCAAAATCGACGTAACCCGGTTTACCGCTTCACTACTGAAATGTTCAATAGAAAATATTCAGTAGAAAAAGTCAATAGAATTCAATTTTTCTATATAACTTATTCTATTGAGATATTTTCTATAGAATTTCTTCGGTTCAAATTTTCTAAGTTTTTTCGTTTGATTTTCTTGATAAGAAGAACAGAAAAATAGAATGAAAAAAACTTGGAAAATTTGAGTCGAGCAAATTCTATAGAAAATATATGAAAAGAATAAATTATATAGAAAACCCGAATTCGGTTGACGTTTTCTATCGAATGTTTTCTATTGAACATGTCAATAGAATCAGCCAAAAACTAATAGAAAGTTTAATGAAAATTCAATAGAATTTTCCAACGAATTCGATAGGTTTTTCTATTAAATTTTTTTGTGTGTGATCTTGAGGACTCGAATTGTTAAGGTGAAAGTCATTATTCGAAAATCACACTGAACTTAATTCAATATTTAATAACGGTTCAAAGTAATTGTCTCGTGAATTATTGTTCATTTTATCGATTCTTGATATTACGTTTAAAAAATATTAAATTGTCAGTGAATGGTCATCAAATGAATATTTCTTGATATTGTAGAACAACTGACCTTTTTCACTGTTATTACATTCCAACATTTGTCTCTCGCAATTCAATCAAACTAACTTCAATTATTCGGTATTAGGAAAAATGTAGGAGAAAGAATAATTATTTTTTCGTCAATATCTCTATGATCCCGTTGCACCAGCTCCGGTTGCACCAGTAACGAAAACATCAGATAAGAAAAAAAGTAAATTTGGATGTTCGATGGATTATTTTACCCGGGAGAGTATCTCAAATTTATCCCAGGAATAAAAAATAAAATTTAATCTGTGACGTGTGCAGACATTCACACGTCGATTTTATTAGCGAGAAAAAGTCTGACGCTGAATAAGCACTCACATGGTGTAACTTAAGTCCAGTTTCCGTCCTGAAATTGTTTGATAGTGTAGAGATATTCTTCGTGACTTTATTCAATTGTATTAGGGGTGAAAACCCGTATGAATGCTTATTAAGCATTTTGAACTAGCACCGACTTTGTGACTTTGGAATAAAGCAGAGTACGAGAAGAGTTGGACTTGAATGGATGTCCACTCTTCGCCAAAAATCTTAGCACGGCGCGCAATACCGAACTCATTATCAGTTCAATTTTATATTTTGGTATTATTCCCAGTTAATTATATGAGCAGATCCGCGTGAAATCCGAAACCCAAAAAAATTGATGTCTGGGATTTTCTGCGTGATTTTTTCCTAGAAAGTTGGGCATCAGACAAACATTTTGAAATTTTTTTTTTTCAAAAATATTGATAATTGCAGGAGTTATGATTTTTTAAAAGTTCACATTTTTTTTCGATAAAAATTTGATTTTCAAATTATTACCAATATTCCAGTCCCCTTCAGAGCTATCAAAATTCTTTTCAGGAGACTCAAAGAAAACGAAAAAATCTTCAAAATGAGACGTCACTCACTGCATTCCCTCCAATGTTACGCGCTTTATACGTCAAAACGTCTTTTTTTTCAGCCGCCATTTTCTCAAAAACCTATTTTTTGAAAATCTGAAATTTTTACCAACAATCATCAATAAAATGACGAAAATTTTGGCGCCAAAAAAGTTACTATTTTGAAGTAGTTTCGCAAATATGATTTTTTTAAAGAAGCAAATCACTGGAAATTATGCAGAAAAAATCGAGCAGAAAATCGTAGACATCAATTTTTTTGGGTTTCGGATTTCACGCGGATCGGCTCATATTATAGTTATTTTCATCACAAGGTCCACATTCGTCAGAAAATACTTTTGGACCGTCTGATGAATGCAATTTTTCGTCAGAAGGCCCGTAACCCGCGATCAAACCGAGCGAAGCGAGTTTACCGGGTCTTCTCACGAAATAGTATATTTCGTAACGAGTGTAAAAAATATTTTTTCACGAGTTACGAACAATATTTTTCATCACAATGTGGCGGAAATTGGACTTTTAGGCACGCGAAGCGTGCCGAAAAGTTCACTTTTCGTCTCAGCGTGATGAAAATCTTATTTTAACTGGTATTTGGTTATTGAGAAGAAGGTTATCAATTCTCCCCTAAACATCCCCAAATGGACGAACTCCCCGTGAGCTCACCGCTGTAGCAGCCGAGTTGGAGAGAAACAGGATTAATCTCACGGAGGGAAATATTCTTTAATTAAATTGGATTGGATTGGATTTTCGAGGGTTAAATTCAAAACGTCATAAATCCCAAGGTTAAATCGGTGTTAATTCAAATGGGGCTACAGGATAAATAAAAAATTATTCTTCGGGTCAAATATGGAAAAATTATAACCCCTACGATATAATTGACCTTGAGGATAAATTTTATCCTGGGGTTCATTTGGATAACAGGGCTTGGTGCAACCGGGCCTATAGCTACTAGCTGTAGGGTAAACTTCAAAAGGTTTTCTTATAAGGGTTCTACATATATTTTTTCTCATATTAGTAATCAATTAAAGAAATAAAATTTCACTCATTGAGTAGTAATTTTAAGAAAGGGAAGTCAACTCCATTTTTAGGGAAAAATTCAAAATTTTGAATTTCATCGAAAATTCACCGGAATTCCAAATTTTTCTCGAGAATTCTCCAACTTACTCGAATTATCAATTAAAACATGAATGTTCAATACTAATTTCCTTGATTTCTACTAATTCTTACGGAATTATTGAGTACATACGTACAGTTGACATCCAAGTGCTTTGACTATTTTTTCTTCAGTGAAATACTTTTCTACTTTTGTAGTTGAACATCATAGCTTTCATTTGAGCCCCATTTGACCCTATGTTTCGGGACATTTAGCAATGATTTTCATGCCTGAAAAATAAAATTTCCAAAAGTTTAAACAATTTCAGTTATTTATTTATAAACTTAGAATGTTTAAAAAAATAATAATTCTCTACTAAATGTAATTTGAATGATACTAAATATTCATGATTTTTTTCAAGTTTTTCTCATGCAATTTAATAGATAAGATTGATGATTGAAAAGGGTTGAATCTACGGTATGGTCTGTACCAAACTGTAAAAGATCCTTGGATATCCTTGAGAGTTAATCCAAAAGATATTCGTTAAACTCGTCCGAGTAATTCCAACTCACAAATCCTAAAAAATTTTGCAGACATCAAAGTTGCATCGATCCGAGAGTTGGCAAAGCTCCGCGACTCCCCCGAGCTCCAAAAAATAATGTCAGACATCGAGAGATACTCAAAAGTTCCCAGAAACTCAAAAGACATAATGGGTCCAGTGGAATCGGACGCAGAGTATCAATTGATTGTCGAAGCAAACAACATGGCAGTGGGAATAGACGACGAAATAACGACAGTCCATCGTTTCGTGAGGGATAAATATTCCAAGAGATTCCCTGAGCTGGAGTCGCTGGTCGTTGGACCCCTGGACTACGTGATGACGGTCAGAGAATTGGGGAACGACTTGGATCGAGCCAAGAACAACGAAATTCTCCAGCAGTTCCTGACACAGGCGACAATTATGGTTGTTTCTGTCACAGCATCAACGACCCAAGGACAACTGCTGAGTGATGATGAGAGAGATGCTATTTGTGAGGCTTGCGACATGGCTGTAGAATTAAATAATTGTAAATCGAGGATTTTCGAGTATGTGGAGAGTAGGATGGCGTTTATTGCGCCGAATTTGTCGGTGATCATTGGGGCTTCTACTGCTGCGAAGATCATGGGGGTCGCTGGGGGGCTGTCGAAGCTGTCGAGAATGCCTGCCTGCAATGTTCTTGTTTTGGGAAGCCAGAAGACTACACTCTCTGGGTTCTCACAGACTGCTGCTCTACCGCATACGGGGTTCATTTATTACTCGGATATTGTACAGGACACGCCACCGGTGAGTTGATCCCTTTCATTGCGCCCTTTCTCCTGTCTAATTCGATATTCCCTTTTTTCCATTAATTATTTGAGCAGATCCACGCCAAATCAGCGGGACAAGAAAGTCGATGCTGGGGGTTTTTGTCTCATTTTTTTTTCTGAAGAGATAACGATTAGATAATAATTTTGAAAAAAGAGCAATTGAAAAATATGGATAATTGAGAGAGTTATGATTTTTTTGAAAATTGCTAGTTTTTGTCAAAAAAAATTTTTTCGGATAGAATATTCGATATTCGGAAGAATTGGCCCCAATATCTTTGCGGAGTTTCAAACTATCAAATCGTCCTTTGGCACAAAATGAGACGTCAAAGACAAAATGAGATGATGACAATCATTATCATTGGAAACTTCTTGTGCAGCGCAAACTAATTGTAAATGATTCTATAGAACTCACTCTATCCATATCTGTGTTCATTATTTTCATCCTGCATCAAGGAAAACATTATATGAATTTAGCTTCCACTCATTCTCATTTGTCATCCCGTAAATTTGTAAGAGGAGATTAGGCCACTTGGTACCAGAATTGATGAGTGTTAATAAATATCTTAAACTGCAAGGAAATTCAAACTTATATTTTTCAACGAATCTTTTTATGAAAGCGAAATAAGAACCCCGACTCAGATATTCAGGAAAATTTCAAAGATATTTTTCAAAAACCAAGCTTAACAGGCATCAACAAAAATTGTTACTAAGTAATTTGAATTTAATTTGTTCCTTACTTTTTCATTTGAATTTGAAAATTTGTTATTCTCAATTATAATTGAACAATTAATTATAAATTTCTGAATTTTATGTTTCAAGTAATCTAATAATGATCATTCTTGGCAAGTTGATTACTGTTTTATAAAATATTAGAAAAATTGAAAATGTTGATTGATAATTAATATAATAAAAATTGAAAAATTGTACAATACAGTAACCTGATTTTGTATGTAATAAAATAATTTTTATTCTGTATTACGATTTTGCCCATCTCTGAAGCTTAACATAGAATAGAATGGAATTCTAATTGTGAACCACAAAGTTTTATAAAAATAAAATCAAGCTCCGAATTCAGATGTTGACGCATTTATTCCTCTGTCTAGGATTTACGAAGAAAAGCAGCGAGACTGGTTGCCGCAAAGAGCGTGCTAGCAGCACGAGTAGACGCTTGTCATGAGAGCACTGATGGTCAGATTGGTCGATCCCTGCGTGAGGAAATAGAGAAGAAATTGGATAAACTTCAAGAACCACCGCCAGTGAAATTCATTAAACCTCTACCAAAACCAATTGATCCTGGCAGGAAGAAGAGGGGTGGCAAGAGGGTTCGTAAAATGAAGGAGAGATATGCCATCACGGAATTCAGAAAGCATGCGAATAGGATGAATTTCGCGGATGTAAGTAGTCCCAAAAATTTTGATTTTATACATTTCGATTTTTCGCAGAAATTTCTTTACTTGTTCCTCTGATTTCATTCGAATCATTTCAATAGTGAAGCGGTAAAATGGTTGAAGTCGATTTAGGCCTCAGCCGAGTTTTTGAGGGATATCTCCGAATCTAAGGGAGATGGCAAAATTTTTGTAATTACCTTTCTTGTAGAGCGGACTGAGGGCTATAAAAAAGATTGAGAGGAAAATTTTGCTACGTCAATTAGATTCCAAGATATTCATTGAAAACTAGCTTATAGTCAAAATTCAATACTTTTTTAAATAGAGCAGTTGATGTAAAAAACGTTTTTCGCATAAAATGACATATCGTTGTTCTATCATTGATTTGCATATGGAAACATTTCTTAAAAATGGGGTCGTGCAGATATGCCTATCCCACTCGATAAAACCAAAATTTAATTCCCAATCTTGGAAGACCAACCGTTTCGAAGATCAGATTTTTTCAAGAGAAAATCTTTTTTTTTTCAATTAAAAAATAAAATTTCTATCGATCCATTCGGAAGCTTACTACCAATGGAATTGGTAGAAATAAAGAATGAAAAAGACAAATAACGCATCAAGTAACGGTCACATGTCTTCTGACTGAAAGGTTCGTCCCCCTGCTCATTTTTTTCGTCCTTCTGCAAATAATTCTTTAAAAAAAATCCAGTGAAATCGTTCATAATTTGCTTTTTATACCATTTATTTTGTAATTTTTTCCTAGATCGAGAGCGATGCATATCAAGAAGATTTAGGCTACACCAGAGGTACAATTGGAAAAGCAGGAACTGGAAGAATTCGACTACCACAAATAGACGAGAAAACCAAAGTTAGAATATCAAAAACTCTCCAGAAAAATCTACAAAAGCAACAACAATGGGGTGGAAGTACAACAGTTAAGAAACAAGTGTCTGGTACTGCTTCTAGTGTTGCCTTCACTCCCTTACAAGGGCTGGAAATTGTGAATCCACAGGCTGCTGAGAAAAAAGTTAACGAGGCTAATGCCAAATACTTTTCGAATACTGCTGGCTTCTTACAAGTCAAGAGAACATAATAATTTGTGAATCAAGTGTACAAAGTTCATTGAACTCAATGGAGTGTGTAAAAATTAATTTGAAATTTTCGCTCTGGAGGAGGGGAAATATTCCCAGAAGTTTTTGTAGATTGATCAACGAAGTCATTCAACTCACCCAAATGAGAGGTATTATTTATCAAATTCTTTTCAATTTGTGAATTAAATTCTATACAAAAATTAATCATGTGCGATGTGAATGCGTTTTTTATTTTTAATACTAGATTTTTCTCTTCATCTCTAACCTTTTTTATTACACCCAGAGAAATGATACATTTGAATCGAAGAAAATGTTAAATTTAAAATTTTGGTATTCATTGAAAATAATTCTTGCTAGACAATCAATGCGAATATTTATTTCAATCAAAATGTTTCAGTTATAAAGATGAATAATTCATTCGTTCCGTATAAATCCTCCACTAGAATGAAATAAATAATTTATTCAATTTTATATGATCTATATAAAGTCTTTATTTGGATCAAGAAGACATTTTTTTCAACTTTTAAACATTTTAATTAACGCCAATGATACAACAAGGCAGCCGAGTGTACATTGTTAACTTAGAGCTATTTTACGTGGTTTCAGCCCTCGGATTTTTACTCATATGAACTTTAAGGGTATGGGTTGGGTGAATACATAAGGTTTGAGGTGGGAATTGCTATGGTATAGGGAAACGCAGGTGAAAAACCCTAATTCTTTCGGTTGATGGGGGATATATTCCGTCAGTAGACCATCTGAATAATTTGAACGAGAGATTTATTGCGAGTTATTCAGCTGATCCCATTTATTTCATTCAAATTGAGTTTATGTAATTCAAATAAACGATTTCGTTGGGTGTAGTTAAACAAATTATTCACTGGGTAGTAAGTTCTCGATTGTCGTGCAAATTGAACTTTTAGAATAATGAATAATGAAGAAGGCTGATAAAATAGGACAATTCGTTTGTTCGCCTTTTTCTAATAGTTCAATATCGAGGTTCAAAGGCAAACTTGCAAAGTTTAAATAATCAAATCATTTTAAATGTCGGAAACTTAGGGTCAAATGGGGCTCAAATGAAAGCTCTGATGTTCGACGACAAAAGTAGAAGAGTATTTTACTGGAAATAAAAATAGCCAAAGTACTTGGATATCCTTAAGGATAGCCAAGGACCATTTTTAATCATCAAATTTGTCAATTAAATTGCGTGAAAAAATTTTGAAAAAAATCATGAATATTCAGCGTCTTTCAAATTACATTTTGTACAGAATTTTTTTTTAAACATTCGTTGTTTATAAATAAATAATTGCAATTGCTTAAACTTTCGGAAATCTTGTTTTTTTAGGCATGCAATCGATTTCTGGTAAAATCATATAAACAAATTAATAATATAAATTAATAATGATAAATTAATAAAATAATATGAATAAAATTTTTACGACTTCGCATAAATTTTTATGGTGAAAATTTGATTGTTTATAAATTTTTTATAGAAAATGCTCATCATTTTCAAAAATTGCGATTTTTTAATTATTTTATCAATTTTCCTCCAAAACTAAACTTTCTAATTTTTTTCCAAATTTTTAACATGTTTTCTAACGGTTCAATATCGAGATTCAAGGTCAAACCTGCAAAGTTTAAATCATAAAATCATTGTAAAATGTCCGGCAAATTGGGGTCAAATGGAGCCCACATGAAAGCTCTGATGTTCCACTGCAAAACTAGAAAAGCATTTGGAGAAAAAACAGCCAAAGTATTTGGATATGCTTAATCACTTTTTCATTTTTCATTTGAAGATCCCAAACTTCTCACGGACAATAAACAGTGAGTTTTTTCACATTTAATATCAGTTTTGCCACACATGGAATATAACAAAAACTTGAAGATCCTCACGTCAATAATCCATGATATGAAAAACTCGTAGTAACTCTTCTTAACGAGTATTAAATAACTCCCTTGAATCCCTCCGTTCCCGAGAGAGCGGCAAAATCACCAAAACTCCCACCACTCACATAATCACAAATCTAATTCCAATCGTCACAAATCTCACCCTGACCTTCAAAGCAGACCTGACCTTTTGCAGCTTCCCTCCCTCCCCCCACAGATGAACTTTAATCATTGCTTATCATCATTCATTTGCCAACTCGGCAGATTTCCCGGTAATGGCAGAGAATCTCAACCGAAAATTCCGAGAATTAACGTGTAAATTGGAAATTAGAAATGTGGAAACAAGAATACACTGTTAAAAATTTTCCGCTGAAATTTTCGGTAAGAGTCTTTGAAATTTCTAACAAGTAACGTTTCCATTGAAATTTCAAGGAATTTTGTACTTGAAAATTCATAATTTCACGGAAAAATCCGTGGGAACTGTGAAGTTCAGTTTAATTATTCCAAGAAAATTAGTGGAGAATCCGGAAAATTCAGAGAAATCTCTCCTTGAATTTCAGAGTCTTCCGAATATTCAGCGATTCCTCCAAAAACTGCCACAATTCCAAGAATTTTAAAGGAATTCCCTGAAAATTTAAGGGAATTTGGCGGTGAATATTCATTTTCACTTAAAAAGATCTCTTCTTAATCTTAAAAAGAACTCCATTTGAATTTTCAGCTAATATTGAAATCATGTATGAAAAAATTCAATAAAAAAACTTGGCGAATTCTCTAGAAATTCTATTGGGATTCTGTTAAAATTCTAGGGAATTCTCGTTAAAATTCTATTTGTTTTTGCGCTGATTCAATGAGATGTTTGATAGGAAAAAGTCAATAGATTTCGATTTTTCCATATGAATATTCTCTTGGAATTTTTTCAATAAGAATACTTGGGCCTGAATTTTCTAAGTTTTTTTCACTGGGATTGTGCAATGCGAAACAAAACAAATTATAGTGGAAAGGCTGTTTAAATGGAGACAACTGTTATCCAAAAATTGAGAAGTTTCTTAAAGAAACCAAACACATAAATAAGATCTGAAACATATAGTATCCGAAAGTAACCGTTCTGAGCCAATCCAGTTATTGTATTCTCATGTATATATCTTCATCTGTATATTTATTTTAATTTTCTTTTTTTTCGTTTTTTTCTTATCTCTTATATACTTATATTGTATTATATAGGGGAGGGTGGGGTAAAACGGATACTTTAGACTTTTTTCAAATTATTTATAACTCCGAAACAAATTGATCAATTGAGCTCTGTTTAGGCTCGTCACAAAGGGAAAGAATTGTTCTTTGTATTGAAAAAAAATATATATCAAATTTTAGCAACATTTCAACCCCTCATGAACATTTTAAAAAAAGTCAAAAGTGTCCGTTTTACCCCAACCTCCCCTATTACAATTTATTTATTTTTTCTTTCTTATATAAACAGTCGCTAATGACCATGTTACCCATGCGACTAGAAATTAATTAATAAAAAAAAATTATAGTGGAAAAAACTTTGAAAATTCGTCCCCAATAATTTTAATAACAAAAATCCCAAGAGAAAAATGCAAACAGAAAAATCGAAATATATTGACTTTTTCCGATCAAATATCTAATAGAATCCGCGCAAAAAATAAATAGAATTTTAACGAGAATGCCCTAGAATTTTGATAGAATCCCAATAGAATTTCTAGAGAATTCCAATAGAATTTTCTAGCGAATTCGCAAAGGTTTTCTATTCAATGTTTTCATACGCGATTTCGTATACTTTTTCCCCTTAATGTAGCTCTACTCTTCGGCCGGGCTACGCTGTATTTTAGGATATTTTCAGTTTTAAAATTTTTAAACTAAATTAAATTTCGCAAAATATTGATTTTTTCAAACATATCCCTCTTATAAATAAATAATAAAACTTGTTTGCAAAACGGTGGATTATTTTTTATGAGGTGTCAAAAAAATTCTTGATTTTTTCACATCTAATGAAGAAAAATTCAGATTTTAATCTTTGATTACAATGAAAATGTTGATTTTCACATAAGACACTGGGTTAAATCCTGATTTTTGAACATTTCTTCTTTGAAAAACCAAAACGATAATTAAATTGAGAACAAAATTAGAATTCCGAATCTAATCGAGTTTTCTGCAATTTTTTTGCAGTTTTCAATAATCTTTGAATTTACCGTAAGGGTAGAGCTACGTTAAATCGAATAGACCTTTTCATTCTGGAAATCTAGGGGAAATATTTATTTCGTTGATTCAACGAAAAAATCTCCGAAAAAACCATGGAAAATTCTGATAAATATTGAACTTTACAATGATATACACTTGAGCGCTCAAAAACCATGATTTATATGTAAATTCGATAAAGTGTCCGCAAATCCTAGGGGAATTAACATGGGAAAAAAGTGTCCGCAAATCTAGTGACTCTCAGAATGAAAAGGTCTATTCAATTTTTTTCTGGAAAATTCCGCCAAATTGTTTTAGCAGTGTAACCGATGAGAACTGAGGAAAGAATGAGAGCAAGTGCCTTCCTTTCCTCCTATTTGAAATTGAAAAATAAACACAACACAGTTATATCACGACTACACACGAGTGCTCTCGAGAGGTTTAGTTGAAAAATCAACGAAAGGTGGGAAAGAGGTGTCTCTCGTCGTAACGCGTACAACAGAGACAGGGAGAATGACGAGCATGAGAGTGAACGTGCAATGAAAGAGGAGGAAAAATGGTAAATCCAGTGTAATGCCCATGTGTTCTCCGATCCTTCACTCTCATTCCATTTTCTGTCTCCATTCGTATTCTTCACCGGTCACCGCATCGTTCAGTGCCCGCAGAACTCGCGTTCTCGTATGTTTACATTCCAGAAGAACGGTTTCGATGGTTTCTGGTGGTTGTTTGAGATTCGTGAATGGTTAATTGGGTTGTTAATTTGGTTTGAATTGAGCACTTTTCCTCTAGCGGAGGATTGAGGGGACATGGCGACATTCAAGGATTTAAATACCGATTGGACAGCACTTTCAACTGATCCTGAACAGTGGTCGGAGTCCGGTAAGTAATGCAATATTTTTTATTTTCAATTTTACATTAATCTTTGTGGGTGAACATTATTTTTGAGCAATTGAATTCTCTCTGAAATTGAATATTTTTAGAAAATGTTTTTAACATGTTTTTGAGATGTTTTTGGAGTTTGATACTATTTATTTAAAGTAAAGAAATCTATACATGAGATTCATTTATACTGTCGATCCAAGTGAGTTAGTCTACGTTGTTTACATTGAAGGATTGACATTGTTTGTTGTTGACGATGGGATGCTTTATATTTTTCTTTTATACTAGATTAATCTATACTATTTTATTTTAGTTTCTTTCCATGTGATCCGTCATCACAATTAGATTAATTTAATTTTATTCATTCTTATTGTTATTATATACATATACTTTTTTCTTAATTCAAAAGTTACAACATTGAATGAAGAGGAATCATGTTACAGATCAATAAAAAGTGTTTTTTGTGATCAAAACAAACACAGAACAAAAGTCATTGGAAATCTCACTCGGGTAGTTTCATTAAAAATTATTGCTTTGCAATTCAAAAATATATCTGTCATCGTTTTCAGAAATGAAAATCCTGAGCAGTTTTCAGCTAAAATTGTTTTCACTTTATTTTTCAAATTTCGCTTCCGGAAATTTTTTTCTTCCCATTTTGGAATCAATTTTCGGTATTCATAATAGCTTTCAAGGTTTGTAATTTCCTTCAGAACATCATACATTTTTTTTATTGAACATCACTGGAATGAGAAATATTTCTTGTTGAATTCTCTGCCGCAGAAAATAATTTTTTAAACGTTTTTGAGATATTTTTTGAGTTTGTTTGAATTGTCTGTGCAACTATTTTTTTCGTCTTTCAATTCAAGAACATACATTTTTCTTTTTTTTTTAAATCGAAATATAGGTTCAAATTTCGTTCAATTCATTTTGTGACATTTCGTTTCCCATTTTTTTTTCTTTTTCAATTTTTAAGTCAATTTTTCGATTTTAACATTATTCTTAAAGATTTGAATTCTTTAAAAAGTGAATATTTTCTATTGGATAGAATCGAAAATGAAGAATATATTTTGCTCTAAAAATTACTTTTTAAACATTTATTTGAATCTTTTATCCAATTATTATTTTCGTTTTTCAATTTAAAAACATATCTGTTATCATTTGAAGAAATGAAATTCATGAGCAGATGTCAGCTAAAATTTTTTGCACTTCCTTTTTCAAATTTTGTCTCCGGATTTTTTGTCTT